GCCACAAGAGAAGCTGCTATGCACATGAAGCGCAAATACACATTACTCCTTCTCAGTCCTAACCCAATTTATAGGGTAACTTTTACTTAATTCATACAAATTAGAAAAAGTTTGTTATATAAGTAATGGATAGTTTTGATCTTTTCTTTTCAAAAATTATCTTAAATATCTAACATTACCCTTATATAAAAATCCACCTATTTTATCAACCAGAATTCGCTCCTGTGTGATGTATGGGAAAGATTTTATCATATATAATGTAAAATATTATAATTTTGAAAAATTAGTTCATTGCAGATTAATACAATGATTCTTTCAATTTGCTTAATGGAATCTTCAACCTATATTATTTTCCTATTTATTTAGCATTAGTTATTTATTATATATTATTTTATTATTTTAGGATGATTATAATATCTAAAGCATGCAAATGCAATTATATAATAACTTAGTAAATTCTATTGTGTAAGATGATACATAAAAGAAATAGGTCTTTCTTTTAATAAATGAGAAAAAAGCTATCACTAGAAATTTTCAATAGTAAAAAAAGAAAATGAGACAAACAAGATTTCAATGAACAGTTTGGTTTATAAGAAAAGTTTTAAATGCTTAAGAAAATAAAAGTTATATCTTAATTCATTTTAAAGTGGTTTTTTCCACACCAATCTGCTCTTTGCTCTCTAACTTTATTTATTCTTAAGATATTTTTTCCAATTACATGTATTTTACATATATGTGAACTCGTTGTGGGTGACTGTCCCTTATCTCATATGTTCTAACCCATTATTATATATAATTTTTTATAAAATAAAAAAACATCAAAAAAAAAAAAGCAAAGAGAGATATGATCGCTCTCATGAGATCACAATAACAAATTATTTGAAGTATTTCAAGTGTCAAATCTACAAAAAAATTATGCTTTTACTAATTTAAATAATTAATAGTTCAAGAAAAATAAAAAAATGAATAATTTGATGAAAATATAAAGAATAAAATAAATCAAGAAAATGATGATGATGAAAACACAATCACTTAAAGCATTAGGATTTAGGATTCACCTTATAGTTATCAGTTTCTATTCTTTGAGTTGGCTCTGATCAATTATAGTGATAATTATTCTTAAAATGTCATAATATTCTATCAAATTATTAGTCCCTTTTTAATTAGCATTAAATTCATTTTCACAATACCCAAGCAACTAATTAAATCGTAAAGTTATAGTTTAAGTTATCATAAATTTCTATAATTATTCCTAAACTAGTTATTTATGTCTATTTCTCTATATCTAAATTTTTTTTCACCTCCCAGTCCATCAAGATTACCCATAAATTTAATTAAATGATGGCCAGTTATTAAATCAATATGAAAAATAAGATAAATAAATATAATTAAAAGAGGCAAAAATATTCATAAATACAAATGCAAAGAATTAAAACAAAAAAATTAGAAAACTAATTCCTCAATTAGGTTACATCCCTATCCCAACTGAGTAATTTAGAAACATGTAATAAAATCAAATAATACCATTCTAAAATTTTTAATCATGAAAAACAATCAAAAACAAAATTAAAGAGTAAAAAAAAATAATTATGAATTATAGAACTCCTCAACGATCTCGCTTTTAGTTTTTAAAATGCTTTTAAGAGTTTCAAATATCTCAAAAAAAATTCTTAAGATACTCAAATAAGTAATTGAATACTTTTTTCTTATTAAAGGAGAGTATTTATAATTGAAGTAGAGACTCCTCCTCTTGTTCCCTGTAGATGTGAGACTCTAATATTAGACATATCATGTGATGTGCTTGCTCCTTCCATCCACACACACACACATATATAAAAAAAAAAATTTCATTCTTTTTTTTTATTACATTTTCCTCTTTTATTTCATCTATTATTTTCCTACAAAATATAAAGAAGAATTATATGAATAGATTTTATATCAAAATTTATTTTTATCTTATAATTAAGTGATAAGAGGAAAATTATATAAATATTAATTAAATAAATATAAAATTTTAATAAATATAAATATTAATTAAATAGATATAAAATATTAATAAATATAATCAAATCAAAACTAAAATTTATATCTATTTAATTATTAAATATGCACTTATTAAAGTAATGTAATGAGGATAGTCAAATAATTAAATATATTAGATCTCATGGGACATTAATATTTTACTTAATTCAAGAAAAATAGAGAGGAGGAAGAAGAGATTTTAAATTTAATTTAAAAATATAAATAAAAAAAAAAAATCAATTAAAAGCTTTCAACTATATTTCTTCATTTTTCAAAATCAAACTGTCATAGTATAAATAATAGATCAAAATGATGCCAAAAATTTAAATAATACCGGTCATCTTTTTAAATTTGTTAACTTCATACGTATTTTTTAAAAAAAATATTAATAACAACATGCAATTCAAAATTTATTATTCATTGCATGTTAGAAATGTAAGAAATAATACTTATTTTATAAGTAATTTAAAATTTAATATTTTTATACTCTCTCCGTTTAAAAATATAAAATATTTTTAATCAAATCTTACTCTCAATAAAGTAATTACCTACTTTAAAAGTAACCATATCTTTTTATATTTATTCCTATTAAATACCTTACAATAAATATAAAGTTATTTATCAATAGCATACTTTTAAAAAAAAGATAATGATTATACCTTAAAAATTAAAAATACTTTATATTTTTGAATACCCAACTTTTTAAAAAATATTTTATATTTTAAAACGTACATGTTAAGAGTATAAATAATACTTACTTTATCCCATAATCGTTCACCTTATTCGATTTACAATTTTGGAGTAAATAATTATGCGAAAACATATTTAGTAATTTACAACCCCATGAAAATTTAAAATTTTAACAATATATTATATCTCAAAATTTATTACCCCATAAATCATGTATAGTTATAAGTCATTCAAAAAATATTTTGAAAATAAAAAATCTAACATAATTTCATAAAATTTTAAAAGAGCTAAAATAAAAATATGACTTAAAAAATTTTTTATCGTGTTAATTATTTTTAAAAATATGCTTTTAAAAATTATGATTAAAAATATTTTTAATGAAATGATTTCAAAAACAATAAAATTTTTGCTTTTTACTGTAGATATACAGTAATATTAATTTTATTGCCGCCGCCACCGATAATAATAATAATGGTGGTGGTGGTGGTGGTGGTGTTCAGCCGCACATTAATTATCTCTTTTATCATCCCATTAATTTCTGTCCCCATCTTCATTACACTACGGGATTTTTTTTCCCCCAAAGAAAATAACCCAAGACAGTAAGAAGCAAAGTTACAAACTCGCAACATTAGATTGGCATATATATTTTTATTTTATTTTTGCATTTTTCTGGGTTTCCTCCTTCAGGCATAATTGCTAATTTTATAATGTGTAATCTTCGAGCGGGGGAGGGGGAGGTCCGCTCTTTCCTTCGTTAAATATTCTTTTTGTAAACATTAATCAAGGTAGATCGACCAAGGAATCTCCCAAAGTAAAAGCATGTAATTAGATTCTTGTCTGTCCTTATTCCTTACCCGAGGAAAAGGCACGGAACAAGAACATACATCACTTTTGGGTCTTCTTTGCTAGAAATGTAAGCTATGAATCCGCATCAAGGTAAGGAAGAGAAAAGAAAAGGTTAAGTCACAAGTCCTCTTTCTAAAACAATTCACCTTTATTCCATTCCTTCAATCGTTGATCTGGAATAAAGGCTTCCAATATACCTCCATTCAAAGTGGGGGCTAAGTCATGCACAGACCATGCGGAAATGGGAATCGGATGTTCAGGAGCTGGAACCACTATAAAGGCCCACCACAACGATTCAAATTCTCCCACAGCACAACTCACCCTGAGACACACACCCAGAGAACATGCCCAAGTGAAACCAACTAAACCCTCCACCTTATTAGCAACGAACCACTCGAGTAAAAAGATCAAGCTTTTGGAATGAATGGCATTGGGAACTTGCGTAGCCTAACCATGAGATGACATTATACCCACCATGATCATGGAGGCTTTGAAATGCATTGAAACCCAGAGCCCAAGGTTCTCCTTTGTTGACCCCAATGCATATATTATAATTTCTGCTCAAATTTGTTTTTGTGCCAGGTAGAAATTTTGATAGAGGCTGAATTTTACAAGGCAGCTTCTTTGTTGGTGCATAAATGGCAGATGCAAATATAAGCTATCAGTCTGTTCATAGGGATTTTGTTTAATATTTTCTGTCGATTTTAACCCCCTCCCCCTTAAATATGTGCGTGTAGAGGTAGTAAAACCCAAAAATCTCATGCACTAAGGTAGGATTTCACGAGGGAGGTAAGTGATGGTGAGGATTTGAACCTTCTGGACCGAATCAATTTTGCTTCTGCATTGTTTCAAGCATCTGTTTCCTTGGACCAATTTCCTTCATCACTTGCTTGGCAATCTCCATGTGTGCAATATGCATGGTTTTCAATGCTGTTGAAGAGAAGGGGAGGAGCTGAGTTTTGCATTCATGAAGATTGCCCAACAAGTGTCTGAAAGAAATCACACTAAGAAAATAAGTACTTGGGGAATAATATAAGCTGAATTGACTCTGCCCAAGGGGCTCAAATCCTCAAAATCACTAATCTTTCTCCCAAAATCCTACCTTTGTGCAGAATTAAGGAAAAAAAAAAAAATTTGACATTCTTAGGTTTTACTACCTATTTAGGCACATATTTTAGGATGTTAAAATCAACGAAAATTTAAAACTTAGTAAACAAAATCCCTGTGTTATTGACATTTATGTATACGGAGTAAATTTAATTTATTTTTTGTAAGAAATTTATATAAAAAAATAAAGTAAACCCCTCTAAAATCCCTATGTTGTCGTAAGATGTTTGCTTCCTTGATGACAAATTATTAATGCAACTCAGTTAACATGTCTCATCTTGAGCGGAGCTCAATGCATTTGACGAACTGCGTATCAATTTGGACGTCTTATCAACTTATCAATTTCGTTGGAAGATTAGATTTGGAGCCATGCTTGCTAGACCAACCACCCTACCCAAGAGATGCCATTTATAAATGTCACATATCATGATACTAATGAATTTGATTCCAATTGCTGCTCCGCAACTTTTTAATCATATGCTTGTCTAGGAAGTCAGGTAGACAGGTACTACAGTGCTACAATCACTGCATCCAAGAACAGAAGGAAAATGAAATCTGAGATAGCAAGTATTCATCCTATAAGTTAAAGGATCACATATTCAAGACGGAATAAAATAATATTCCTAATTTCTTTTAATATCTTTCTCCCCCCGTTTTCATCGTGGTCCCACCCAGAGAGTATGGAAGAATAATACAGTGGCATAATATTTTCTGGAAATGGCAGTTAGAACTTATGAAACCATCAAAAATCTAAGACAAAACGTGAATAGCAAATTGTAGGAGATCTTCATCACACTTACCAGAGAATACATAAAGTCATAAATAGGAATATGCTGCAGGGAGTCCAATTTTACCAAACAAACCGAGGTACGGTACTCAGCAATTCAGCATTAATCTATATCTAGCAAGAACTAGTTCTACTGAGGCATAACACGGGTGCATCATATTCAATCTATCTCCCACATTTCTAAAGCAGCATACATCGTGCCATATATTCACCAGACAGGTCCTCCGCACAGATTTTCAAAACTGTGCACATTCATACCCCGTACGCATCATTTGTTGAAGTCAGAATGTCACAATCCTCTTCAAGTATTCGATAACAAATAACTCTCATTCTTTTCCATTTGCTTCTCCTTTTCCTTAACCTTATTCATCAGTTTAGGCCGTGGCTTCATTGGCTTCAAATAACCAGCCTGTAGCCTCACCATTTCCCTCAAAATCTCAATTAATTTGCTCTCAATCTCTAACCCATTTGGCTCAATCACTCTCAAAGCTCTTGCCACAGCCTCCATGGTGCTCACGCACCCGGAAAAAGGCTCCTTCCTCAAGATCAATTCGGAGTCATGTATACTTCCACCGCTCACTTTTTCATCGATCTCCAAACAAACCCTAGTCGCAAACTTCGAAAGAAACTCCTCGCTGGCCTTCACCATTTCCCTCGCGTGCTTCCACGTTCCATCAAAAACATCAAAACCACATCTTCTCCATTGTTTCGGAGCCAGTCCGATGCATTGAGGTGATCGATATTGACGGCCGGCGAAGAGTGAGTTGGCGGAAAGAGATATATGGCCTTGGGAGATTGGTCGAGTTGTGCGGAGAGGCCAGGATGGAGACGTCGGCCGACAATGGCAGTGGCGTTGAGTAGTGCCTTGGTGAGAATTGGAGTGGTGGAGAGCTTGTGCTGTGCCTCGTGGGGGTGGTGAAGGATCACTACTCGGGTCGCGGTTTGGATAGGGTGCGATGGAAGGACGTGGCAGAGGCACACCGGACCAGGGCGCGAGCAGTTGGAACAGATGAAACGACGATGCGACGGTGACAATGGTTCAGGCATACGGACGGCGATCAGAGTTGGAAGATCGCGCGTGGGTTCATCTGATTCAAGGTCCATCTAAAGCCAAATTTCTTTCTGCTTCCTCCTCCTCCACTTCTTCTCTCTTTTTTTTTTTGATAGACTTCTTCCTTTTTTTATAGCCTTTGCACCCATTATTGTTATGGACCTAACTTGAGGTTGGGCCTGATCTGGATTAAGCAGACGTTTTTCTGACCAAACCCTTAAAAAAAACAAAAGAAGGGGCCCATAACTATGATACCATAATTCGGGTCAAACTAGAGAGATCAGTCCGACCTCGCCTGAAAAAAGTTAGGGTGAGCTTGATTATATGATACTTTAATTACAATCTGAATAAAACCTACTTGAATTGAGCCCGATTTGAATTAGTCGATTGCTGAAAGTACTAGCTTTATGTGTATGTAGAGTCGATAATCAAACAAAACTTAATGGGCTAATCCAAACAAGCTCAAAAAAAGTTAGAATTGATTTTGACTATATGAGTTTTTTTTAAAGGGTATGATACTTTAAACTCAATTCAAATAAGCCCAACTCACTCAAAATATTAACTCTACTACTATCACCACGTAACACAACTTTCTTCCTCTATTTTTTTCCCTGTATATATCTAAAACTATGAAAAAATTACATACAGATTTTACATAAAAAAATTAATTATTACAAAATTCATTAACACAGTTGTAAATCGTCTTATATCAATTGTTAACGGATCTGGCAGTAATTATTTTTTTGGTTTTGTATGGGACTTCAACATAGTTTTTCCTAAAATTATTTTGCAAATTGATACCCCTGGATCATACCCTTTAAAATTACCCTCTAAAACTATGGAAAAATTACATACGGGTTTCACATAAAAAAATTAATTACTATGAAATTCATTAACAACACAGTTGTAAATCACCTTATGTCAATTGTTAATGAATCTTGTAATAATTAATTTTTTTTGTATGGAATTTCAACATAATTCTTCCTAAAATTATTTTGCAAGATTGATACTCCTCGATCATAAACCATTATTCAAATGGCATCTATTAATAATATATCTAATTTTTTGTTTGTGCTAATGAGTATCTTGGATCATAAATTATCATTCCAACAACATCTTAGACCATGATTTCTTAAAATGAGCATTTGGATCATAAACTTTTACTTGGATAGCAAATTATCCAGCCATTAATCTACATATAACTGGATATTTTTTATTTTGCGGGATCCAATTAAATGTTGATGTGATATTAATCCTTTCTTGATGTTATGCTAGTTAGGTTACACAGCTATCAATGTTGTATAGATAAACAAGTGGGGGATAGTTTGATCAAAATTTACAAGTTAAGGAGAGTTTTTACTTATTTAAAGAGTTCAGGGTCTAAGATATTATTTTATTTGAATAATGGTTGAGAGCTTAGGATGCTCAGTAATGCCTTTTTTATAAAAAAAAATACTATATAAGACTAAATATAAATGACAAGTCATCTTCAAGGTAGTGTCACCTTTCTAATTTAAAAGAAATCAGTTTAAACCTAATATTAGCATATTTATGTGGGAAAATTAATTTTTGATTCTTATAGTTTTTATTTAGTTGTAACTCAGTTTTTAAACTTTGATTCGTTATAACACGGTTCATGAAATTTTAACTTGGTTATAAATCAATATTTGAAGTTTTAACCTTTTAAATATTAATCCTTATATTTTAATCAATAAAATTAAAAAGATTAAAAATATTTTAAAATTTATTATAATATTTTAAATTACTAAACCACTTTAATCCTTATAAATATTAAAAGTTTAAAATAGTTTTAATCTTTATAAATTTATTTTTTAAAATATAAAAATTAATGTTTAAGAGGTTGAAATTTAAGGACTAAATTATAAGAGGCAAAGTTCAGGGATTAATTTATTATTGAGTCAAAACTTCAAAGATTGAGTTATAATAAATCAAACTTAAGAGACTAAGTTACAATTAGGTCAAAATGACAAGAACTAAATGATTAATTTTATCAATTTGTGCCATCAACTCATTGTCCCTTTTTCATGGGGAGGGATTATGTTAAGAGTAAAATTTAAAAAAAAAATGCAAACAGTTTTTTTCCAAGGCAATCACCCAATTTCAAAAGGTTTTTCCCGATCCAGTCTGAGATATTACCTTTGTTTAATAAAAAAGACAAACAATATAACCGACCACAAAAAATGAAATGCTAAACCTTATTTTTAGGAGAAAATAAGCGTTCCAATTTTTTTTCGATATCCAATCCAATCGATGCATTTGGCCAAAAGAAATCCAATCGATCCAAAGTGTTTCATATTAATGACCCAAAATGCTTTCCGCTCCAAAATCATGAGCATCGTCTTTCAGAGTCCTTCCAGATTGATGCTAGTAAATCATCTCTTCTTGACCCAAAAAACTTGAAGTTATAGATACGCTGTAATAATAGCTCTTGGTGAGTTGCATTCTCCATTTATATATACATGATCTGAATAACGTATGACTTCTGCATGCTTAATTCAAGCTTAATGTGTGTTTATTTGTTTTATTAGGACTTAGCATTGGATCAAGTGTAAGTTAGACTCTTTCTATTTCTCTGCCCTGCCTTCGCGCATCTATTGATGTTTCCAGCTTCGTTGTTTAGATTTTGGCGTATTTTAATGACTTTATAGTTTGATTCTTGCCCTGGCTCACTGTGATGGCTAACAATGAAAATGAAAGTTATGACTTCCTCCTGATGACGACTCGCTGAATATATGGGTTGGCCAACTTGTGTGTTAGTTTTCTGCGTTCGAGCTAACTAGATAAGGCGCAGCTTGAATAATTCAATTGGTATCATGTAAAAATGCATTCAAGTTCATATGGGTTCGGTCATGGATAGGGAATTCTGAAAATCCCTTATAAATCAAAAATAATGCATACCACATCTAATATTTTGTCACGCCTCCGACACAACTTTTCTCCAACTATTATTTTTATCATGTGGCGCGTTTAATTTTTTTAGGAAGAATTCTGAAAATCCCTTATAAATCAAAAATAATGCATACCACATCTAATATTTTGTCACGCGTCCAACACAACTTTTCTCCAACTATTATTTTTATCATGTGGCGTGTTTAATTTTTTTGGAAGAATTTCATTTAAGAATCATAGAAGCAACTTATCTTCGAGTGGCTCCCAAAAAATTTTAAAATATCAGTTTAGTCTTATGGGACTCAACTGAAAATAAATTGAAAGTAAAAAGACTAAAATACCCTCAATTCAAATATAAAAAGAAAAAAGAAAACCACTAGCTATCGTCGCTGGAGCACCGTCACTGGTGATCGGAGCTTTACCGGTGACGGCAACCACTGGACCACCATCACCAAAGCTCTGCCACCGTCGATGGTGGCTGGAGAATTATGGAGAATTAATTTCTCCAAAGATGGCCAAGATGGGTATAGAACCCAAGACCTCTTGGTTCGCCAAACAGTTTTAGACCACCAAACTATTCAATCCATTCAATTATATAATGCATAAAATTATATATATAATAAATCTTGTTTTCAAACCACTTGATTATTACATTGCTTGTCAATCATGTAATTTTATTTGTTAATACTTTAAAATAACTTGTTAATTACTTAACTTTCCTTGTTAACACCACGATTCTACAACAAAAATAAATTACTTGTTAATATCTTAACCGGACTTATCAATTACTTAACTCTTCTTGTTAAATTTGTGACTCTCACAACAAAGCTACATTACCTTGTTAATCGCGTAACTTTTGTTGTTAATTACTTGAATTTACTTGTCAAATCTATGACTCCTTTAAATGAACTGCATTACTTGTTAATCATGTAATTTTACTCGTTAATTACGCAATAATATTTGTTAATTGCTTAGCTTAACTTGTTAATACCATAACAAGACTTGTTTAACTATTGTTTCGAAAAAGCAATCAAATTATTTGTTAATTGCATAACTTTTCTTGTTAATTCCTCAACAATACTTGTTAATTATCTATCGTCACTTGTTAAATAAATATATAATTTACATAAAAAATTGAGTTTGTTAGATAACGAAAGCAATGATAGTCGGGTCTCTCTTATCAGTATTAAGCATACGTGTTAAAATATATTAGGCTTTAATTGTATAAGATTTTTCAAACCTCTAACTTGAATTGTATAAGATTTTTCAAACCTCTAGTCTGATCAGTATCTATCAAACTTGAGCTTTAATTTATACAATTAAAGCTAGAGTTTTAATTTTTCAAAACTGTAGTTTGATGAATATTGATCAGAGTAGAGGTTTGAAAAATATTATACAATTAAAACCTAATATATTTTAACAAGTATGCTTAATATTGATAAGGGAGACTCGACTGTCATCGCTTTCATTATTTGATAAACTCAATTTTTTATGTAAATTATATGTTCATTTAACAAGTGACAATAGATAATTAACAAGTATTGTTGAGAAATTAACTGTAACAACCTAATTTTTTTTTAAACAACTCAACCATGGTAGAAAAGTATCTATCACGATAAGCAGAAGTCAACTTATCCTATATTTTTTTGAAATAATTCTATAATTTAAAACACTACCATGGTAGAAAAGATTAAACTCCTTTTTAAATAATACTAAACAATTTTATACAACTAATATACATTTACAACCATAGTTGGGTTACAGCCACCCAATATATTTTATATCAATAAATTCACTATAAAATATTTTATAATTGCTTAAACTTGCACAATACAACATTTCAAATAAATTTTTACTTCTTACATGCCATTAGGCTAAAACTATATTTTTCATTCTTATACTCCCAACAAGTGCAAACCATAAACCAATAACTAACAACTTAATCATTTTCTAAAACAAGCCAATTATTTGGCTTTATAATCATGCCATTGCAAACCATCCAAAATAAATTAGAGATCAAAGTTACAGTCATTCAAAGTGTACCAAATGTAGAAATAGTTTGAAGGGCATAATTACATCATTACATTCATATAATTGTCAATAAACAAAAGGCCCTAGTATTGGCAATATAACACATTAAAAATCATAAATTAAATACCTAAAAGAGACAGTAGATCTATGCTACTAAGCCTCAGGGACTCCTTCATGTGCCACTCGTGGCTCTTCTTCTGAAAATTGTTAACCACATAATGAGACTCAAAAGTCTCAGTAACTAATGCTAATTTATAATAGTGTATACAAACAGTTAAATTTATACTTGCTAAGTGGGAAAATAATAGTCATATAATTCCAACAAAAATACAAGAAATATTATAATGCATAACAAACAATCATCCTTATCTCCCTCCATTAACCTCGAGCCGTAGCCCGGTGCTAAATTACTCGACCAAAGGTAGATTAGCTCAAACCCATATAAGCCACCTATTGGGCTCTAATAGGGGCATACCATGTGGCACATACAACAACAACAACAACAAGTCTCCCAACACCTTTCACACTAATCAAACAAATTCATAACAATATTGTACAATTATACAATATTATAATTTTTTTATTTTTAACAATATTACAATATGACATCCTACTTGGCAAAAATACTTCAAAATGCATATCCACAATTTCACAATTTTTTCATAAACATAACAAGGTAATTTCTCAACAACAATTCATAATTTTCTTAATAATTACCCAATTAACTTGAAGCAACACTAAGCACAAATTAAAAGCATGATTGTCTTGTGGCTTTTTCAATAAATTATTCCTTACAATTTCTCTCCCACCACAATCTTTACCAACAACACAATTTACAAATAACATATTATTTATAATATTATTTTTAATTATTAAAACTAATAAAATAACTCTAATAATAGGATTAAAGACTATAACGTAATTTCTAATCTCAATCTTAATACAAATATAGAGTTAGTGCTATTAAGTAAAATTGTTAACATCTCTTTTAGTCATCAATAAATATTAATAAGCTAAAATCAACTTCTAAACCAATTTCTATTATCAAAATTTTCCTTTTTATTTTATAAATTCGCACCTAAAATACCCAAAAATTAGAAATTGAGTCTCAAGTTTAGAATCATCATCTTATAGTCATAATAAAATATTTTTTATCCCAAATAATCATCTAAATCTCAATAAATCAATATATATTTTTGGATTTAATAAAAATCTAGCTTAGAGTTTGATCCATAAGCCTCAAATTCAAAGCTCACTAATAAATTTATATTCTAGAATATTTATTTTACTACTAACAACCTCAACAACCATATTTATTCAACATCAATTCATCTCTCTTTCAAACCTTAGATCTTCTACAACCACAAAATCAGAAACTAAAGAGAAAGGGTGGGCTAAGAAAAATTTTTAAAATACTTACTTAGTCTTAAAAAGCTTGAAATCACACCTTAAATATCCTATTAAAAACTCTTACCTTTAAAACTCAGATCTCCCACACCGGTGACTCGCGTTCTCTCTGTCTCTGCTCGCGCACAAGGAAATGATTGAATGGACGAAGGAAAAGGGGTGTGAGTTTTAAAAAAAACACTGTAAGGCCCACCTTCTTTTTCTTTCCTTTCCTTTGTTTTTTTAAATATGTGTGTGTGTGTATCACAGCACACGAACCGCTCCTCCTTCTCTTCTTCTTTTTTATTAATATATATATATATATATATATATATTTGTACATTACCTGTGCAAGCAAATAATTCCACCTCCCCATTTTTTTATATTTTTTAATGCCTATATATATATATTTTCATTTTTCAATCTCTCTTTCTATTATATTTCTCTTTCTTATTTCCTAATAATAATAATAATAATAATCTTTAAAATCCTAACTTAGAATTATTCCTAAGTTAGATTTAATAATTATCTCCTACTAATTTACTTACCTTTAAATATTCTCCAAGATTTTGATTAACTCAAATTAACTATTAAAATTTAAATTGGGATGTTACATTAACAAGTAAAATTATGCAATTAACAAGTAATTTTGGTTGCTTTTTCAAAACAACAATTAAACAAGTTTTGTTATGATATTAACAAATCAAGTCAGCAATTAACAAATAGTATAGCACAATTTACAAGTAAATTTACATGATTAATAAGTAATATAGTTTAGTTGAAGGAGTCATGGATTTAACAAGTGAAGCCAAATAATTAACAAGTCCTATTAAGGTATTAACAACGATAGTTATGCGATTAACAAGTAATATAGCTCTGTTGTGAGAGTCACGAATTTAATAAGGAGAGTTAAGTAATTGACAAATCTTGTTAAGGTCTTAACAAGTATAGTTACACAATTAACAAGTAATTTATTTTTGTTGCAGGACTTGTGGGGTTAACAACAAAAGTTAAATAATTAACAAGTCCTTTTGAGGTATTAACAAGTAAAGTTATACAATTAATAAGTAACATGATAATCAAGCAGTTTGGAAATAAGGTTTATTTTATATATATATATATATATATAATTTTATGCATTATATAATTAAATGTGTTGAGTGGCTTAGTGGTCTAAAAGTTTTTGGTAAACCAAGAGGTATTGGATTCTACACCTACCTTAGCCACCTTTAGATAAATTAATTTTCCAGCCACCGTGATGGTGGTCCAGCTAGAACTCCAATGATAGTGGTCCAATTGGAGGCTTGCTCTGACGATAGAGGTCCAGTGGTTATTGTCGTCGATGAAGTTTCGGTCACCGACGATGGTCGTTGGTGATTTTCTTTTCTTTTCTTTTTTTTTTATATTTGAACTGAAAATATTTTGATCTTTTTAACTTTTAATTTATTTTTAATTTAATTTTATAAAATTAAATTAATATTTTAAAAATTTTTAAAAATTATCTGAAGATAAATTACTTTTGTGATCTTTAAATGAAATTCTTTCATTTTTTTTTTTTTACTTTCGTACCTATTTCACTTGAAACTTGCATACATCTTCACTTCATAGCTACTTAGTTATCCGAACAGTGTCTTAGCTCTGACAAGACATATTTTGGTTATTCATGCTTGTGAGCTTCTGACACACCAGCCTCTGTTAATTTGGCTTTTGACTCGTTGATTTCCTCGTGAGTCCATTATTATTCAACTTCTAAGCCTGGCAGGCAAGCTGAGGCGGGAATTGACTGGATTTCTCCCATATCAAATATTATTGATTATTGATAATGAATTAATTATTAATTATAACCCATAAAATATAACTGCTGATGAAAATATGCTTTTTGATGTGATTACTGGTAAACCATTGTTCCTTATACAAATATATCATTGTATGGCACTGTAAATTCTTAGAATTGCCATAAAACGATGGTGGAAAAATTGTTCTCATGCTTGAGGGATAATTAATTGGAGAAAAATGATGATTCGGGTAGGAATCACTCCATTCATGTTATACTTCACAATAACTACAAAGTTTGGCATACCGTACTGCTGCTGAAGAATCTGTGATGGAGACTCATGGGAACATCTCTAAAGTGGTTGGCAACATCCTTGATCCTTGCACCACATTTGCTTTTCCAAACTTATCAGTAAGTCTTATATTATTTTAACTTTTAATTTTATCCTATTTTTTAATTTTAATTAATAAGAAATTGAATTTAAAAATTTTAAGGAATGATTTCTTATCCTATAGTAATAGAAAGATTTTTTGAAACTAAATTGAGACCTTATGATTAATTTGAGTCAAAATGATAAAACTTTAAAGTTATAAACTTAAGTTGACCTGATTTAAGAGAGAAAATTGAAAAAAAAAAAATTTGACAGTGGTTGTGTTAGTATTTAAATGGGGTAATGCTTAGATGTAAAAGGTGTGAATGAATGTGAATAAGAAAAATGATAATGATTAAGTGTTAAATTAGTGTAATTGGCACTTTTAATCAATAATAAACTTGATTCTAAGTATCTTAATTGTGTAAATTCTTGCGTGATGTGTTGAAATTGTGAGAAAAAGTTTGAGTGAGATTTTGAAACAAGAGAAATTCTTTCATATAAATAAAAGATTGAAATAATCGTATAGTTCATTATCCTTTTTAGCTATTATAATTGTGTTTATTAAGACTTGATTATTTTTCATAATATCAAGTAAAGTTTCAATTAGCTTATCTTATAATTACAGGGAAAAATGTATTACAAATCATATGCTGCCTTTCCAGTCCAATATTGGGTATGTTTCTTAATTATAAATAATTTTTAATTAACAAGGCAAAGAGGCAAAGTTCATAAATTTGATGATGCAACGAAGTAATTTAATAAAACATGTTAACCGCATTAATATGCTTAGTTAAAAAAATGGCAGCAGATAGACTCCACAACAATTGAGATGATCTGAGCTAACTAGGAACTAATATAATTGGGAAGTTCAATTTATTTATTCTAGGGTCTTTTTTTTTTTAACCAGGGAAGTTGTTTGTTTACACTTTCGTCAATGAAATATCAACAACAGGTACATATTTTGCTCGATTCTGATTAAAACCACTGGTAAATTCAGGAGGCAACTGCTATGCATGGTTTGATATACTGATAACAAGAACAGAACATTGGAGGAACTTGTGGTAAGTTGAGTGGAAGCGTAAGACTCGACAGTACGGTTGGGCCCATAGGTCTCGCGCTCGAAAATATCGAAACTCCTTTTCAATGTGAGACACAAGCTCAAAAAGCAAGAATCTTTTTGCCTTCGTAAAAGGCCTCGATACGCTTGCTATGTAACAAAAAATCTCCCTCCCTCTCTCTCTCATCATCCACATCTTCACCTTTCTTACTCCTCCATTACCCTCTCCGGGAAATCCTCTTCGGCCAATCAGAATTCAGGAAACTCCATCTCAAAAGGCCAACAGATAGAAATATCATACCAACACATCTCTCTGTTCTCTCTCCTACACGCACTATGACGCTTGCATCAAAACCTCAGTCATTCATTAACTCCAATGTCTACCCGACTTGCCACGTGGTTCTAGCTCTCACCACTAACTATGAAAACCAACTGTTGAATTCTCGAGCTCTTTTCTTTTATTGCCCTCCACACAAACCTAATAAAACCCACAACCCTCCATCCTTCTGAAAGAGAACAGAGGAAGGAAGAAGATGCACTGGAACTGAGTTCCAAGCAGCACTTAGAGAGAAAAAGAAAGTAAGTGAGTAAATTCATTCATCTACTCTGATTCCCCATTCTTTCTCTTTCCCCTGCCTTTTACACACTAATTTGGAGACGCAGCATTCCTTCTGTGTGTTATTGTACTGAGGTTATCATCAATGGCTTCTCTGGTATCTTCCCCTTCTACTTTGCCCAGCTCTAAGGCTGACCAGCTTTCTTCTCTTGCCCAAAAACATTTCTTTCTCCATTCTTTTCTTCCCAAAAGAGCCAATTTTGGCAATTCAAGGTCCCCCATGAGAGTGAAATGTGCCGCAATTGGCAATGGCCTATTCACCCAAACATCCCCAGAAGTTCGTAGGATAGTTCCAGAGAAAGACATGAACCTTCCAAAGGTTAAAATTGTATATGTTGTCCTCGAAGCTCAGTACCAATCATCTCTCTCGGCTGCTGTGCGAGCTCTCAATGGTGGCAAACAATATGCTTCCTTTGAAGTTGTGGGTTACTTGGTGGAGGAGCTTCGAGATAAATCGACGTACAAAACATTCTGTAAGGATCTCGAAGACGCTAATATTTTTATCGGGTCTTTGATTTTTGTGGAGGAGCTTGCTCTCAAAGTTAAGGCTGCGGTAGAGAAAGAAAGGGACAGGCTGGACGCGGTTTTGGTTTTCCCATCAATGCCTGAAGTAATGAGGCTAAACAAGCTGGGTTCTTTTAGCATGTCACAGCTTGGGCAATCCAAGAGTCCGTTCTTCCAGCTTTTTAAGAGAAAGAAGCAGCAATCAGCTGGGTTCGCTGATAGTATGTTGAAGCTCGTAAGAACTTTGCCTAAGGTTTTGAAGTATTTACCAAGTGATAAAGCTCAAGATGCCAGACTTTACATACTGAGTCTGCAGTTTTGGCTTGGTGGATCGCCTGATAATCTGCAGAATTTCTTGAAGATGATTTCTGGGTCTTATGTTCCGGCATTAAAAGGGACAAAGATCGATTATTCGGAGCCAGTTCTGTACTTGGATAGTGGAATATGGCACCCGTTGGCTCCTTGTATGTATGATGATGTGAAGGAGTATTTGAATTGGTATGCAACCAGAAAGGATGCCAATGAGAAGCTCAAGAGTCCCAATGCACCTATAATTGGTTTGATTTTGCAGAGAAGTCACATTGTAACTGGGGATGAAGGCCACTATGTGGCAGTGATTATGGAACTTGAAGCAAGAGGGGCTAAAGTTATTCCTATTTTTGCCGGTGGGCTTGACTTTTCCGGTCCAGTAGAGAAATATTTGATCAATCCGATTACTAAGAAGCCATTTATAAATTCCGTTGTATCACTTACCGGCTTTGCTCTTGTTGGAGGCCCGGCAAGGCAGGATCATCCAAGAGCAGTTGAGGCTTTGAGGAGGCTCGATGTGCCATATATTGTTGCACTGCCACTAGTGTTCCAGACCACAGAGGAGTGGCTCAACAGTACATTGGGTTTGCACCCAATTCAGGTAGCCCTGCAAGTTGCTCTGCCTGAGTTAGACGGAGGCATGGAGCCCATTGTATTTGCTGGTCGAGATCCTAGAACTGGTAACAACAATTCACCCTTTAAAGTTTTCTTCGTGTTGAGCTTTTCAGTTTTTTTTTGTTTTTGGTTCGATGTGTGACATTTATCTTTGGGTAAAAATGAGACAATTTAGCTTTTGGAAATGAGTCTAGGTAGGAAGTTTTTTAGTTGTACATTTTTTCTGCATGCAAAATTTCACTCCCTTTTAGTTTAAGAAATTCTTCACCGTTTTTTTGTGTTTTAAGGAAAATCTCATGCTCTTCATAAGAGGGTGGAACAGCTCTGCACTAGAGCCATCAGATGGGCTGAATTGAAGAGAAAATCAAAGGTATTTGCTGGTTTCTGAGTCTTAAGTAATTACATATCCAGTTTCAAGTATGTACTAATAAAATCTAACTGATTATCTTCTTGTTCACAAATATACTTTGTAAAGTCTGTCCTGTTTGGAAAGAAATTTATGTCGAAATAAACTGATAGAGATGAACGCTGTTGATCTGAACTTTTCCCCCGTGTGTTGGAAGACAGAGTGTCTGATAATTATTTGGTGCTCACTCCACCCCAGGCATGACTTGCTAGCAATATATCGAATATGAAGCTCTGCAGTTTGAATCCATATTGCATAATTTGTTTTTTGAAAAAGGAGAAAAGATGTAGACTTGTAAATAACTTGAAGAAGACTGAGTGAATTCTACTGTAGTACGAGTATGTTTTAGAAATCTTATCTCTCATTTTCTTAATTAAACTAATAATGTCTAGGGAATGAGTGAGCTCAGAGTGAAGAAGAGACTCAGAGATAGAAAGATTTCCTAGTTTGGTAACGGTATTTATTTAACTGGCCACATGTTTGAAATCTAAACCCTTGTTTCAGAAATGGAAGAGGGAATGGAAATTAGCGATGTAGAAACCATAATTGAAAATGATTCCTTCCTATGTCGCAAATTCATGTACTTTCCCTCCTATTTTTGTTTCCCTAACAAGTCATAAATTATCTTTTTCCACTAGTATTGCAGGAACGGTGATAGGGTTTTCCTGATAGTTTACATTGTGGAACAATATTACTTCTGTTCATTTCATTCTTACTGTTTAATTTGAAGAATCTTTCTCCTTTATTTGCTTAGTGCAGTTTGATTTTGATTGCTGAGATTCTCATGGCTCATTTATGCACACATGCAGGCAGAGAAGAAATTAGCCATCACTGTTTTCAGTTTCCCTCCAGACAAAGGAAATGTAGGAACTGCCGCTTACCTCAATGTTTTCTCCTCCATTTTCTCTGTTGTGAAAGAACTAAAAAGAGATGGTTACAATGTCGATGGCCTTCCAGAAACTTCTGAAGCTTTGATTGAAGAAGTCATACATGACAAAGAGGCACAATTCAGCAGCCCAAATCTAAACGTTGCTTATAAAATGAGTGTTCGTGAATACCAAAAGTTGACTCCCTATGCCTCAGCATTAGAAGAGAATTGGGGAAAACCTCCCGGGAATTTGAATGCAGATGGAGAGAATCTATTGGTGTATGGGAAACAGTATGGCAATGTCTTCATAGGGGTTCAGCCCACGTTTGGCTATGAAGGCGATCCTATGCGGCTGCTTTTCTCCAAATCTGCCAGCCCACATCATGGATTTGCAGCGTATTACTCTTTTGTTGAAAAAATTTTCAAAGCCGATGCTGTTCTTCATTTTGGAACACATGGTTCACTTGAATTTATGCCTGGAAAACAAGTGGGGATGAGTGACGTATGTTACCCTGACAGTCTGATTGGAAATATCCCCAATGTCTACTACTATGCTGCTAACAACCCTTCCGAAGCCACCATAGCCAAGCGCAGGAGCTATGCGAATACCATTAGCTATCTGACACCTCCAGCAGAAAATGCTGGACTTTACAAAGGTCTTAAGCAGTTAAGCGAGCTCATTTCTTCCTACCAGTCCCTTAAGGACACTGGCCGGGGACCACAAATTGTGAGTTCAATTATCAGCACTGCTAGACAATGCAATCTTGACAAGGATGTGGAACTTCCAGAAGAGGGCGAGGAGATCCCAGCAAAAGAACGAGATCTTGTAGTTGGTAAGGTGTATTCAAAGATCATGGAGATTGAGTCCCGCTTATTGCCTTGCGGGCTTCATGTCATTGGTGAGCCTCCCTCGGCCTTGGAAGCAGTTGCTACACTGGTGAACATTGCCGCACTTGATCGTCCTGAAGATGGTATTTCTTCACTCCCAGCAATACTAGCTGAGACTGTAGGAAGAGATATTGAGGATGTTTACAGAGGGAATGACAAAGGAATATTGAAGGACGTGGAGCTTCTTCGACAAATTACTGAAGCATCACGTGGAGCTATTACAGCATTTGTGAAGCGAACTACAAATGAGAAGGGTCAAGTTGTTGATGTAGCTGATAGGCTTGGTTCAATTCTTGGATTCGGAATCAATGAGCCATGGATTCAGTACTTGTCAAACACCAAATTTTACCGAGCAGATAGGGAAAAGCTAAGAATATTGTTTTCTTTCTTGGGAGAATGTTTGAAGTTGGTTGTGGCTGACAATGAATTAGGAAGTCTAAAACAGGCCTTGGAGGGCAAATATGTGGAGCCTGGTCCAGGTGGTGACCCCATTAGAAACCCGAAAGTTTTGCCCACAGGAAAGAATATCCATGCGCTTGACCCACAAGCTATTCCTACAACAGCAGCTATGCAAAGTGCCAAAATAGTGGTAGATAGGTTGATTGAGAGGCAAAAAGCTGATAACGGAGGAAAGTATCCTGAGACAATTGCACTTGTACTCTGGGGAACGGATAATATCAAGACTTATGGTGAATCCCTGGCTCAGGTCTTGTGGATGATCGGTGTGAGACCAGTGGCGGATACATTTGGACGGGTCAACCGGGTGGAACCAGTTAGTCTCGAAGAGCTTGGAAGGCCAAGAATTGATGTTGTTGTTAATTGCTCTGGAGTGTTCAGAGATCTTTTCATCAATCAGGTATAGATCTTCTTACTGTTTCTCAGGAGATGAACACTTGGACCAATTTACTAGTCCTGTTCTGTCGTTTGTTGAAGTATTATTACCTCATTGTTCAAAATGGTTACTTCAGCTCTCCCTATCTCATTTTAATACTAAAAATTAGTCTTTATTCCTGCAACGCTTGAACCTCTTGCCCTGCATCTCAATGACTAAGATTATTGCTTGATAGTATATTTATTAAGTATCTTGTTTCCTGTCGATTTTGTTTGTTGCTCCATTGCTTTGCTCGTATTCTAATTATTTCATTTGCAGATGAATCTCCTGGACAGAGCTGTGAAAATGGTTGCTGAATTAGATGAGCCAGTAGAGCAAAACTACGTGAGGAAGCATGCATCGGAACAAGCTCAAGCCCTAGGGATTGAAGTTCGAGAAGCAGCAACCAGGGTCTTCTCCAATGCCTCAGGATCCTACTCCTCAAATATAAACCTGGCCGTGGAGAACTCTTCGTGGAATGACGAGAAGCAGCTTCAGGACATGTACCTTAGCCGCAAGTCTTTTGCTTTTGACTGTGATGCTCCTGGCTCAGGCATGACTGAAAAGAGAAAGGTCTTTGAGATGGCTCTGAGCACAGCAGATGCTACATTCCAAAACCTTGATTCATCTGAAATTTCCCTCACCGATGTCAGTCACTACTTTGATTCGGACCCTACTAATCTGGTTCAAAATCTAAGGAAAGATAAGAAGAAGCCAAGTGCGTACGTTGCAGACACAACCACAGCCAATGCGCAGGTGAAATTTTATTTGAATCTCCTATTTCCATGCTAAAATTCTTCCCCTGCCACATTGTTTTTGCGCTAACCTTGTGGAAATATTGCTTTCAGGTCCGTACTCTTTCCGAGACTGTGAGACTCGATGCACGAACCAAGCTATTGAACCCTAAGTGGTACGAAGGAATGTTGTCCAGTGGCTACGAGGGTGTCCGTGAAATTGAGAAGAGACTCACTAACACTGTGGGGTGGAGTGCAACTTCAGGCCAAGTTGACAATTGGGTCTATGAAGAAGCCAACACTACGTTCATTCAAGATGAGGAAATGCTGAACAAGCTTATGAACACGAATCCTAACTCCTTTAGGAAGTTGGTTCAGACGTTCTTGGAAGCCAATGGACGTGGCTATTGGGAAACTTCTGAACAGAACATTGAGAGGCTCAGGCAATTGTATTCCGAAGTGGAAGACAAAATCGAAGGAATAGACCGTTGAATTTCGGGCCTGATATTGAGGGATTGAGGAATGAGAAGAACATACAACAGCGAATAAATCTGAAATTGCTGATTTATCTTTGCCACCCGTATTTGGAACCTTGCTCCACTTTGATGTTCATTATCTAGGATACCTTTTTGTATCATTTTGTTTTTCTTGTCTCTTTCCCTGTTGTAATTTAATTTATTTGCAGGGATCAATCAATGTGTAGTTGCAAGCTCTACCCCTATGCAAACAAAAGAAGCTTCTGATTCAAAGTTAATCATAACCTGTCTCACAGTTACTTGGATTTTTTTGCGATCAATCGGTCCTTGTAACACACTAAAAGAGGAGAACAGAATAAAATTGAGTTACAAATGCTACTCCGGTTTGTTTATTCCCCAAACACGTCAGTATACCGTTGTAAAGATTCCGTGAAGGTGCAAGAATGATGGAAATGGATTAATCACCATGTCTTATAAATGCTGCTCTGACGTTCGCAACTTAAAGGGGAAAAAAATCAGAACATCCGAACAAGCATTGCTACACGAAAAGCAGCTTTCAATTGAGAGCTTGACTTGTGACATTGGATACAAATAAATTCTCATATTTCAGATTTTCACAAAACATTGGGGCAAAGAATTTAATACATTTCCTCTTTTGGAGAAAACAAAAAATGAATTATACAAGGTAGATCTACAATGAAGAGAAAACTAAAAGGGAAAGAAAATAATCCCTTTCTAGAATTTCTTCGTAAGGAAAAACAAAAAGACTGTCTTTTGTAACAATTAACTTGAGTGCAATATGTTCCTTAGCGTGCGCTCTCTCTCTCGTCTTATCATATTCCTACCATCAAACTAACTCCATCAACAAGGGATCCCCTTCAGCCATTATTCTGATAAGCTTTATAAAATCTTGCTCGCTTGACACATTCCATGGATGAACAGCAGGTACTTTAGCAGAATAATGAGCGGAGGAGTTAGTTGGGGGCTTACTCTTGTAGGTCATTGTGTTGAGAACAGAGTCAAAATTCTGGGGAGAATCTATGGATATGAAGAACATAGGAATTGCAACCTTCTGATGGATCTCCAGATCACCCACTAGGTTAACAAGCTCAACAAAGTCACCTACAAAGCGCTGAGGAATGTAGAATACCTCAGAGCTACATATTAGGAGGTTCTTCTCACTCGTCATAGTTTCTTTGTAATTGACTTGAAAGTGAACTGGCATTACGCTAACAACCTTCTGGACCATGCTTGCTTGTTTTGAAAACCAATCAGAGTTGTCATTGGTTGAAACCGTAGTCCAAGACTTTGAAACCTGGACGCCAGTGAGTATGTCAAAGGAGAGATAGATCTCTAATAGGTTTTTTTAAAAATCAGCTAACAATGGAAAAACACCATCAACTGAAGTCATTAAAGTAACTAGATAAGCATTTCTCACAAAAGCAAAGTTCAAGTGACAGGGGCCTTTTTCCTTCTCTCTAAGTGTTTTTTATTTTTTTATTTTTGGGTGGAGAGGAATGACTTTACGGCAACCATCATCCAAAAATACGACTTTCTATATTGGGTAAAAGTAAACAAGTCGGAATACCTTGTTAGTGATCCACAGCTTAGTTTTGTCAGCTTGTAGCAAGTTCCAATAGTTAAGGATGGTATTGTCTTGCAGGAACAGAAACCCTTCAGCACTGCTAAATTGATCAAATATTTTTGGCAGGTGCCTGGAAACAGAAGAGAAGCAAGTTTATATTATGAAGAAAGATTAACAGTCTAAATTCTGTACCATATCTCGCATCTAAAGACTTCTATGGTCAACATCATAACATAAAAATAACAAGTCAGGATGGAATTTTAACAATATTATGTCCAATATTAGCAGAAAGCAAAAAATGAATTTGCAACACTGAACCTTGCAGGATCATTTCTCTAATATTTCTTGTCTTTACGTCAATAATTAAACAACATTGTGGGATATTCAGCTCCCTAACGGATACAATCATGGCTATAACAAAGTAAGAGTATTTGATAACTTACACAGCTGATGTCCAACTTATATTAGAGACAAGCTTCTTGTGGTTTAACTTGATTATTCATTGAATTGTTATACTAGAGATTCGCCATCCTCTAAATGTTTGGTGCAAATTCCAGAATCCAAACTACATGTTTTTTTAATACAAGACCACGAAAAACTGTGCAAAGATACAAAAAGCAGGTCCTGCAGATTCCATGAGGATTCTGCATCCTGAAATCCAAACTATATTTAAGAAAGAATGCAATTAAAGAGAGAAGGACGAGCTATAACGGTAGTCATTAAATAACAACCAAATAACTCAGGTGAGATGTGCAAGAGAAAGATATAGCTGAACTTACTTGTATGCTTTCTCTAAATGGCTCTCTGCCACAGCAAGATCTGTATCCTTCTTTTCTGACAAGATGACAACAGTTCTGAATATACGCCCATAAAGCAACCTCCACTCAAGAGCTGTACGCTCCACTGGGCCACTACAATGCATGATGAGCACAACATTTCCAAAAGTTTTCCTCCATGTGATTAAATTAGCAATCTCATAATTTACGGTTCCTGTTTCCTCAACCCCAAGATGAACGGATGGCAACTTTTGAGGTATAAACTCCCTTCGATCACCATGACCAATATTTGCTCTTGGACGACCCAGTTCCAATGACATCAACCTTGGCTGCTGATACCCAACGGCAAGCAAGTCCTGTAGCCAAGCAGCAGTTAGTTTCACATCCTTATCTGTCCAAAAGCCCTCCTCTGCCATCATGTAGCTTAACTCCAAAATCTTCTCAAACAATCTATGTTTATTTGATCTCCATGAAATCAAGTACTTGATTAGACGTCCAACATTGACATGAAGATCCTTCTCATGTGAAAATGGATACGCCTCAACCTTATCATATCTATGCAATGTAGGGGGATAAAATACAAGATAACCACCAATTTCCCAAAGAAGCCTCTGTCCCCAGTAACCTCTTATGACATCAGAAGCCATGGTGCTAACAGAAACTGGAAGCATCAAAGCCCAAAATGCTGAAGAATGGTACAATGTGTTAAAGGAATTAACAGGCGCCATCATACCTTGTGGCAGAGCCACCTTTGGGGCATGCTCATCAAATCGAATATCAAAAGCTTCAAAGCTGGACTTGCGTGTATAATAAAACACGGAATCAATATCAGGAAGCCCATTTGAAAGTCCTTGCTGTATAAACTGTTTTCCACCAAAAACCTCAGTGTAAAATTCTTCATGCCCAATTTCACCGACATTTTCCAATGGCATCCCCCTAGGCCAAACCGAACGCTGCCCAAAATGAATGTATGGATTCACAGCGGTTCGATTTGGATTGTCGTGGCTGTACTGTAATATAACGTCTTGCCTGGCACCCTCCCCAATCAATTCTACATCAAAGTGCTTACCTAAATCCCCATCAATTACATCACCCCTATTATCAGCATCGAATATCTTTTTAGCGCCATGCTGAATAGCAAAGAGATAACCAGCAGTTTTCCTGACATATGAATCATAAGGAAGATGATCCACTACCCGAAATCCCAAATTAGCTTGTTCCTCCAATGACAAAAAGATAGCACCTTTTAAGCTCCAATCCGAAGGCGTTTTTGAGTTCCCCACAGCCAGCACCTGCCACCCCTTAATCTTGACGAGGTTGCGAAGTGAATCTGAAGGATAATTTGACACTGAGACGACGATCCACCGCTCTGATCGAAAATTTGCATATCTGGAGGTCTTATCCGAGATTGAAGCAATCGAATTCCACTTAATATGCGGAAATTCGATCTTTTCGAGGTCTATAGCTCGTTTTTCGAAGCACAGCAGCGCCGCCGTATCGCCAACGTTGCGAAGGAAGAATAATGCCGCGACAGTGACAACTAGGAGCAAGATTGCAATGATTTTGTATAGATTCTCAGACATCCATGTGGAGCAATCGAGATTTTTGGACTCAGAGAAGCGATCTGTAGGAAGCTTGGGTACAGTTCTCGCCTGGGGTTTAGAAGATTTAGGAGTTGAACGGTCTTGGACCAACATTGGATCCTGCGAAACGAATCACCCTTCCTCCCACCAGACCAGCGTTTGATTCAAATCCCTCCTCAGTTCAAGCTTGATTTCAGCCAAATCAACTCTTTTGGAGTCTCACTTTCTTCTCTAACAGCGTGAACCAAAATCGAAACCACTCTGTAGCAGCACACGAGCTCACTTTGTCTGCAACTGCATCTCTTGCCGACAAGTATGATTAAGCGGGTGTGATTCCTTAGGCTTCAATACATCTGTAAGAAGTTTGGTGGGGTGAGAGACTCCGTCTTGCGCTGAGCCATCCTTTTCTATTTGATGCTGAGTCTGAGATATATATTTATGGTTGGGTTGGACTGGTTAGGTACTACTTCGCATTGTTATAGAATAATAAATCGACATACAATATTATACAATTTGCCTGGTGGGCCTTGCATCGTCGGTTACATGGTTCTGCTTGCTTCCAACACGAAGTTCCCATCTAACCTCTCCATTTTCTCAGCCGATGCCTTCTAAACAAAGCCAGCTCAAACATTGGGCACCCACTTGTCTTTTCATCTGTCTAAATAGGCATTTGTAGTTAACAAGTCATTTTCGTTGTAATTAATCCCTTTCTGAGTTCCGTGTGCATTGTATTTCGAAAGAAATTAGAAGTCGTTCATGCCCAAATAGGAAGTTGATGAATTTATATTTAATAGTGCGGATTTGATTATCGTCTTTGGAAAGCTTGCATTCGACATTGTCTGATCTTGTAATGGGAATGTGTTCTTTTTCATCACGAAAAGCGCCAAATCGGAGTTCTTCGAATGCAAGAAATGCCAGCGCCCCTGAACTTAAAGGAAGCTTTTGACGTTTTTAATTGCAGACTAAAGTTAGTTAAGCTATGTTACATGGAGGATTTCGGAAAATGTTTACTATATACAATTGCAATGCTAAATTATTATCTTATGCAATAAAAAATAAAATGTAAGATAAAAGAATAAATGAAAAGAATACAAAGTGCTTGATACTATGAGGCATAATACTCTCTTTTCTTTTTTTTATACAAGATTGGATAATTTGAAATGCTAAAACGAAGTTAGTAATTTATCTATAAAAAGATTATCCTGACAGAAACTCTTTGTGCAAGTTTGTTAAAACATATGAAAAGTCAAATGCAAAGAAGTCTATTCTGATGATATTATCTTGAATAGTGACATTTCTTTCTCTTGTACTCAATAGATCATTAATGACCTGAATTTAATCCAGACTAAATCTTTTGAGCAAAGCCACCACTCGCCATACAACTAATTGGGAACTGCCAAATTTGGGTTGGGTCAAACTAGACATTAATGGCTTTTGTCAAGTTTAATGGAGTTTTTGCTTGTGGTGGTCTTATCATATGTGATAAGGGCAACCAGATTAAAGTTTTTTTTTTTTCCAAAAATCTTGGTTATCGACTTAACACAATAGCTAAACCAATAGAAATTTTAGAAGGTCTTAACTCTTTGTTGGAATGCTAAGATTTCTAAAGTTAACGTCTACTCAACTTCTATATGAAACTCTTATCTTTCATTGAATGCAGCTCTTTTCATAGCCACTCTCTCTTAGCTATTATCATAAACATCATAAATCTTACCATGCAAGAATGGGATATCATTATTGACTATGTTTATAAAGCAAAATAATAAATGCATCCACCTGATGGTTCACAAGGCATCAAAAAAATTTTTGATTTTAACTTCTTTAGCAGTCCGCTTATTAATTGTATGAGCCTTGTGATTTTTGACATAATCTAATTTTGGTTAGCTTGTATGGTTTTAAGGCTTCTCTAGTTGTCTTGTATTTAAAAAAAAAAACTAAAAGAGTTTTAAAAATAATCTTCTTTTTTTTTTGGTGAACTAAAAACAGTCTTCTTAAATAAAAAGCTTTTAATAGTTTTACAGCTTAAACATGATCTACAAAAACACAGTGTACACCGAGGAAAAAAAATTTAAAAAAAAACTAAAACATCGATTAGAAATATGAATAAATTTAAAAATTAAATACTCAATGAAGATTCTAAGAAAAAGTTGACAAAAATGCAGAGAAAATTGTAACTCTTGGGAGCATTACAACGGGACAGTCTAGTTATGAAAAACACAAGTTACCAGTGGGAGATTCGGTTTAAGCATATGCTCTAACATGCACAAGGGGGAAAAATGATAGCTGATAGCTAGCTGATATTATAGCTTGCTGTTCTACGTAAAAAGTGACGCCAGTGTCGAGATACTTCTGCAGAATACAAAAGTTTAATGACATTGTCTATACTGTCCTAAGTCCTGATTGTCGAGACTATGCTTGCAGTTGAAATTGAAATCAAGGAAAATGGAGCAATCGATACAAAAACCTATTCTTCCTCTTTTTTAAAGTTTTAGGACCTTCTTCAAGATCTTCCTTGCCTCATTATCTAGCCTTTTCAGGCTTATATCATAGTCAATCTTGAGCCTCTACCATCTGATGGTCCTCGTACACACGCTCCTACTTTTTCTTGCTTCTTTGGTCAACTCTGGCATTAACTTTGCCTTATGGGACAAAACGTTCTCTCAAATTCACTCTCTGCATTCTCAATTGCCTCGAAATACTTTGACTCGATTATGCTGATATGAGGCTATATACTGTATCCATGTAGAACGCGTCATCCGGGTCGTAGTCCTTATTTTCAGATAATAGGGATTTTATGTGGTCGAAGGAATGAACACCAGCGCGTGGCAATAGGGGGCTTGGTAACAATTTGCATCCCTTGTGTTTTGGCAACAGTTAAAACCTTCTTGCGGTGTCCCTTTTGATTTAAGCTGATTAAGCTACTTCTTCGGCCCCAAAAAAAAAAAAAAGAGGTTGATAAGCAGTACGGGTATCACTTTCACGATTACCTTTTCGATCCAATTCCTCGTCCTCGTCCCTTGTCGACGGTGATGTTTCGCTCAATTATTGAATAATTCACTGCTCACGTCTGCTTAAGTATTTTGAACTTCCCGTATTGTTGATCACAGAAAGGGAAAAAAATATTCAAATTAGGAAAATAAATAGAGAAAAATCTGAAACTGAACTAACTGAATCTGAGAAATTTATTTCAGAATAAAAGCACGTAACTACTTGCAAAAAGCAGAAAAAAATGAATCATGTGAAATATTAAGTTCATGAGTCATGATAATCCGGTAAGGAGGGACGATGAAATAAGAATTCAGATCATTCAAGAAAACAGTACCCGGAAACAAAAGCTGAGACAACGGATCAGAGCAGGGAATGAGGCACGTTTAATTATTTGTCGTTTCATGACCCGAATTATTCTTTATTCATGCAGGGGAACAAAATAACCTATTGAATAAGATTTGGACAGGCACGAATCCACATACTTAATGAGTATATTTAGTGACAAGCCTAGAAATTTTGAACCGTGGGGCATTATATATTTACTTATATATCTACACAACAGTAATGCAAAAAATGTATCACAATATAGTAAAAGAATCACATGAGTTTTTCCCTCGAGAGGTTTTTTTTTTTTTTTTTTTTTGTTCTAATAAGCTTTCTCTACAAGGTTTCACGTTTTGGTAATGCTGAATTATTTTTTCATCTTCAATACTGTCAAAAATCTCCTTTTCTATGGAAGCAACCAAACAATCACTCATCTGGTGTCTCTGGAGTAAGTGACGCCAATACTATGAGGGAGACATGGTTGAGTTGAGTTGAATAGCAAAACTGAATTAGAATTCAAACTTGTTGTAGAGAATTGTTTGGTTGAGCAAAATTTTTGGGTCAATCTCGTTGGAGTACAGTTGTGCAAAGATCTATTTTAGGGATTTGATTTTCTCACCTTTTTGAATTGAAGTGTAGCGGGAAGAAAGGAACAAATGGGAGGCAGAAAGTCGGTTTCAATTAGAAAAAATAAATAATCATAAATAAAATAATAACTATAAAATTTTTGGTTTTTTTTATTTGGGCCATAAAAATTATGAGTGTTAAAAATAATAATAAAAATTCAATGGCATAAGCAAGTAAAATTATTAATTACTGGGGGCAATTAATATTTATGAGATGAGAGCATATGATATATTTTTTCCGTTAAAAAATATAAGGTATTTTTAACCAATCTCACCCCTCAATAAAGTAGTTACATACTTTTAAACTAACCCTATCTTTTTATATTTATCTCTATTAAATACCCCATAATAAATATAAACCTATTCATTAATAGGGGCACTTTTAAAAAAGTAATAATTCCACTTTAAAAGATTAAGAATATTTTATATTTTTTAATATTTAAATTTTTAAAAAATATTTTATATTTTTAAATGAAGGGAGTAAATGCGATATATATTTAATTGAATATTTGTAAGAAATTTTATTGTATAATATTAGAAAACACCTAATTTCAAATGTTTGGGGGGAAGACGCAGCATCATAAGGGTTGTTTTAATTTTTTTTTTTCAAAAATATATGTTAATAATTTTTAAGTATTAATGAGATTTATGCCACGCTTCTTACTCAAATTTTTGTGATGGGTCCAACATTGATGCTCAAGCGGCTTAAGCTGCTCTTAATTATGGATCGGGCTGACGCTTTGCCCAATTCAATTTCCTCCATTTCATTATTCGTATCGGACTACAACAGCCATTCCTTTCCATACAAACCCCCAGGTTCCACATTCACGCCACACACGCATCAGAGAACCGCTGAGTGTGTAAGACTGTGTGTGTAGAGGAGAGTGAGAAATTTGAAAAGAGTTAAATAAACCCGCCAAATTAAAATTGGAAAACAGAAGCATTGAGCTACTGAAACGAACAATGTCATTGTCACCGTTCCCGAGTTCGCAAGAACGAACAGTTGCTTCTGCTCTGCTTCTTCTCTCTGTCCCTCCTCCGTCTTCCTCTCCCTCTCTTTCTCCTACAAGGTAGTCAAGCTACATACGGATCTCCAATTCTATTTTCAATCCAATGTGTTCTTGCTTTATGCTTCTGCATTTTATTTCAATCCAATGTGTTCTTGCTTTTTGCTTCTGCATTGAGTTCTTTTTGCTTTACAGGTTTGATACTGATCCCAGCGATTCGACGCCAGAGAGAAGCAGAAACAAGAGTTGCAGAGATGATAGCTTCGTGTCGAGTGGTTCCAAGTCGTCGTCGTCGCCGCTCTTTGGCGAGGATGGATCCTCGGAGCAGATCATAGGTCGTAGGATCAGGTTCTTCTCCGCCGTTGCTCGTTATCGTCAGATGAAGTTCAAGGTCCTGAGCTTTGGTTTCGGATTTATATTTATTGCTTCCGTAGAATTCTCATTCATTCTCTGCTCTGATAAGTTTTCTGTGCGTTGTGAAGATTTTACTTCTATTTCCAGGTAGGCAGAACAATTTATTGAATAGTCTGATCTGACTTTTCTGTCCTGGCTGAATAATTATGAGCTTCATTTTTCCCACCGTCAAGTGCTTTTTACTTTTTGTTTACCTTTAAGACATTGCAATTAGTAGCTTATGAGAGATATATGCCTGGTTTTGTCGCAGAACCTCTTCTCTTTGCCTTACGTAATATTTGATTGCTGCAAATAAGACTAGTTTTTCTGCAACTGATTCAGTATCATTAACCTGTCGGTTCCCTTTTCATATAAATATAATCCTACTTCCTGAATTTCGAAATTTTAATGCACATGCATAGTCGAATACGGCTTTCCCTGCACAAGTTATGTGTCAAATACTTCCCATTACATAGCGTTCGGATTTTCGGTGACAGCAAAATTCGTCACGAAGCCCTTATTTGTAATTTTTAGAATTTGCAAGATTAGATTACACTCTTTAATATGTGCACACTGAGGTTCTTTGAATTACTATCTAAGATTGCGAGGAAGAGTCGATCGAAGATCACGTGGGTCTCCAACGATGACCTCCCGAAACCAAACACCAGTATGGCATCGAAGTTGTCCGATTATACAGCTGACGCCTCCTCCTGTTTGTCAAGCGGTTCCAGCGGTACCTCTAGCGCGCGAAGCTTGCGCTATATAAATCGAACCAAGCGCGGGAAAATGGTTGGAATGCTGAAACGCAATCACGCGCAGCATGCAAAGCAGAAGCACGTTGCCGGCTCCGCCTATATGCGCCGCCGAGCTGAAGCCATTTTGAAGTTGCTTTCTGGTGGAGATTCCTCTGAAGTGAGGATCCGCCAACTCCTCGGCGACAGCCCTGACACCAGCAAAGCTCTCCGAATGTAAGCTCCCCCCCCCCCTCTCTATATATATATGTATGTATGTATATTTGTACGTCGTATGTACACACATCAGTATGTTTGTACGTCGTATATTTACTCCACATTGACAAGGAACAAAATTCAGTCCGGCTCTCATTTGAGAAAAGGAAATTTGGACCTGACATCTCATGATAATTTATTTTTTTAACCCATGGTTGTTCATAGAAAATTTAGTGAATTATGGAACTTGTTTTAAATCAAGAAAGAATTGGCTTTAGCCTAGTGATTAGTTTCATAACCCCCCGAAGTACTTTCATTGGAGTCAAAATGAGCATGTGTGTGCACATACAAATTCTCTTACTTTTAATCCGGGGATCTACCTGGCATATATACTGTCACGCCCTGATAAAAATGTATATGGATTGTGTGAAGGCTGCTGAGGCTGCAAGCGGTGAAAAGATCAGGCTCAGGTGGGCGTCATGACCCCTATATTTACAAGGTACGTATTAATACTACCCCAAGTCCTTTTTCCTTGTAGTATGATTTTATATTGATTTGTTTAATAGCTGATGCTAGATGGCTGCGCTGCCTGATGATACCATTCTTAGCTCAGGACAATTCTCTTTTGTTCGTCTTCTGTAATTTTGTTGGCAGATAGCAGAATAAGGTTGTCATAATTAGCTAGACAGAAGCGGGCTGGCGGCTTATATATCCACACACACACACACACACACACGTATGTAGGTAGCCGTTCAAGGATTATCATATATTCGCGAAGACTCAAGAATGCCAACATACATACCATACAAAATATACTAAATCTCGGTATATTACGAAGCATGGTTATGAATAGTAATGTAGATGAAGGGAAACGACAGTACATATACATAATCTCAACAGCCTTTAAAACGGATTGGATCATTTCTTGTTATCCTCATTGTCCATGTCTATCATATACATCTAAAAAACAAAACATTGAACAGGTAAGGATGAGAATGTATCTCTCGAGTATATTATTGATGCTGATGAATTATCACAATTGATTCATGTGTACTTGGGAACGAACCAATATTGAAGATTTTTTTGATATGGTAATATAATGTGATGTTATTGACGGTAAAGTCCTTAAGTTTTAACTTGTGGCTTAATTTTGAAAAGTTCCACCTCGAACTAAATAAAAAATGAATTTTCAATACTAGAATAGAATAAAATCAAATTTTCTGTGTTGTCTGTAAGAGATAAAATAAAAAATTTAAGGAATAATGATAAAAAAAATACCTTTAAAATACTCAAATAACAATAAAATACCGCGATAATTCTTTTTTAGTCTTTAAGAACTTGTACGTTACTTAATTTTAATGTGGAAAGACTATTTGACCAAAAAAAAAAATGTAAAAAAACTATTTTACTCTCATGAGAAAAAGAGGGCACCAGGCCCAATCGAACCCAATCATTAAAAATACAAACCACCCAAATTATAACTAGAAGCATTTGGAACTCGAGTTCAATGAATATTCCATATGAACAAGAAGTTTACTTGCTCAACGCTATCAACCCAGTTAAAGAAAAACATGCCAATCATGTTGCTCTCCCTTTGATAATTAATAATACTCTAGACTCCAATTTTTAATGAACTCAAAAAAAAAAACCCCAAAAAATGGAAGGTCGTCAACAGAAAATTCACATTCTTGCTTTGTTGAAGCGTGGAAGGCCATCATCAGATCTAGTGAAAGTCATTCACATTCGTCAGAAAATCCCCCAAAAAATAAAAAAAATGGAAGGCCAATATCAAATCTGGTGAAGAACCAGATCTTGCTTGCTTTGTTTGCATTGTTAGGTGGATTTGGCGAAGGGGAATGACCTTATGCATTTAAATCTCCAACTGAGTCTTCAACCTCACCTTTGAACCCCAGGACAAAAACCAGGACCTTTGATCTTTCGAATCTCGTAGCAATCTTAATAGCCATCGCCCATCAGTGACATACACTGGTATCATCGTTATCTACAGCGCACCCTTGACATCTTGCCGCCGCCGCACTAGTGTGTTGTGACACCACAGCTAGCTTCGTTGCTCCACCACCACCATTTGTAGATGTACAAAATAGATTCACACCAGGGCTCGCTGAAATCAGAGACGCAGATAGGGATAGAGGTTGGAGAGTATGGAGGACAGGAAGTTAGGGAGCGACAACTATGGAAGGGAGACAGTGAGGATATTGAAGGGACAGGAAAGGGGCTGGCGACAGACACACAGCAAGGGGGCAAATATGACATTTCACAAAAAATCAAAATGTCAAGCAAATTTGTAAAAACTAAAATAATTATCATACACCTTATTATCATTTATATATTTTGAAATATTTCATTAACATTTACATCTTCTCAAAATTTAAAGCATGTCAATTTGTAACGGGCAGATTGCATGCACAATTGTGTCCCCAGTCACCTACCAGCCACTTGCAAGGTGTTATTTCGACTGATGTGATTGAAACAATTTTAATGCGCTAAACAAGGCACCGAGTATGATGTTTAAAATCATACACGTGATTTAAATCATAAGCTTTCAATTGAAACTATAGATCTATCATAAACTATGTAGTTTATATTTTAAACAAAAAATTTAAGAAGTCTAATAATAATAATAAATATATCTAAAGAAAAATCGATCCTGAGTAACAAAATAATCCTCTTGTTTTAAAATATAAGTAAATTAAAGTAAAAAAAATATAGATTAAGAAATATAATTACTAAAATAAAGCAAAATTATCTTCATACCTCCAAATTTGTCCTCAATTATTTTTATAATTAATAGGAAGAAAGTAAAGAAAGAAGTGCGCCTATAAATGTTGAATTGATTATAAATAATAACATAATGAAAACATCAATAAATTATGCATTGAACTCTTAAAAGAGACAATGAAACATTTTTTCTCCTGAAAAGACCTATATTTTGAAAGAGCTGGTAAAATTTTTAAATAGCAAGAGAAAAATGTAGACTCGATATCCATGGGAGGATCAACAATGTTGATTCAGAAACATAGCCAGTTAGACAAAATGTGGTTTTAGGGGCATCGAACAAGCACTTAATGCCTGTCTGCTACCGCGTTTTGTCAATAAAGCAGCCCTTGAGAAACAATACTAAAATTAGCACCAACGATAATTATCATCTAATGGTATAATCAATAATGACGTCTTAATCCTGAAAATGAATGATAATTAGAGACATCATACATTAATGACAATCGCATTTATCCATAGAAACATGAAGACCACCAGCGATGATATTATAACTAATGATAGTGGCGTGTTCTAATCCTGAAAACGAATTAAGTAATCGTGCATAATTTAAATATTCATTTCAATTCTTTCCCTCTATAATCTTTTCACTCTCATACACACCATAAGAGATAATTTAAGTTTAAAAAAAAAAAGTTTGACTAAACTACTCTTTATGCAGCAGATATTCGATCTATCGATCCAAAATGTGGAAGAAGATAAATGACTGAACGATACTTCATGCAGAAGATGCGAACTGTCAGAAAAAAGAAACTTGCAATTTCGTTTAAACCGGGAAAAATTAACTAACATACCATTATCAGCTTGAGATTATTCATGGCTGCCTTTGCCCTCACAGCATCTAACGAGGTAACTTCTTTTTCATGCTGACATGAGAAGGCTGGGTATTTTCAATCTTCTAGAATCTTCTCACCAAAATAATAGGTAAGGCAGTTTCACAATCCTAGTCCTGATACAACTTTCTAAAACTTCACCTGACCCGATAGTCCTTTAAATGAACCATACAGAGGATGGGATTTTCTAAAACTGAAAATATCATCTATTTTAGCTGAATGTGGATCCGAAGCTTCTGCTTTGAAATCCGAAGAATGAAGGTTCCCATATACTCGAACACTTAATGTACTCTTTCGTGAAGCACCAACTTTGATATATTCATTGAAGAAATCCACAAGTTCTTGAAGAGTGAGCTGCCTTAATTCTGCAACCTGTTCCAAAACCACTCAAGAGAATCACCACTTCAGCAATGCCACATAGCTAATATCCATTTTTCAGCCCAAATCCATAAATTCATGATTTTGACTTAAATGAGCGTACTAATCAACTCAACCAAATCCATAAGCATTTCTTTACTACCCTTCTGTTTAGACTTTAGTGGGGGAAAAAAGCGAACTGGGATAATAAGGAAACAGAAATAAAGAACAGATATAAATATACATAATACAAGCTCCCAATAATACCTCTAGGTCTCTCCTATTAAACTTCAGAGTTCCATCATTAATCTCTCGCCAGTAAAATGCTGACTCCTCTCGCAAGTTCTTGTGTCTCTCAAGCTTCACCTCAATCAATGCGTTTACATGCTCCTAAACAAGCATTTCAGAAATCAGTTACAGTTCTAACACAATATCATTGTTAATTAAGGTTCACTGAAAAAATTACAGAAGGTTCAACCCAAAGACCTACAGAAACATATATAATCCAACCCAAAATCCAATAATCCAGTTAATAAAAATGAATACGGAAAATGACCTTAGCAGGATTTAACAAATTTATAAAATATAAAACAAATCATCAATAGCTTTATAGTCCTAAATTTGACTCAACAATCACTATGATTCAAATAATGGTGAAATGACCCAATGAAAATAGCAATATTTACTGGTAAAAGAGATTTGCTATGCTTAAATAATTTCTATTCAAGAAATATCCATCAACTGAAGATTTGAGATTCAGCAACAAAATTGAGGGCGAGCACAGTTTCAGTAAGCAAAGGTGGGTTTAATGCTTGCCGAATAGGAATGTTATGATGGGACAACAACCCCTCTTTATAAAGCACAGAAACTCCTGTACTCTATTTGAGGACATCATTTACCATGCTCGTTATCCACTTTGTTTCATCCTCCCCATAAGCGGTTAATTTGAAACTCAAATACGAGGAGTAACAATGGCATATTTAACCAAAATATAGAAAACAATAAAACACGTTTGCTTCAATAATAATTAGGGTATAAAAATGTCCTATTACTAGGCAAAGACTATACAAAAGATAGTGTATCCTATCCATCAAACCTTGAATTCTTCAACTGACATCTCAAGAACTTTTTTCTCAAACATCTCGAGAAACGCCTCAACTCTTTTCTCAATGTCTCCAGGACCCTGTCATCCAAGCAGAATGATAGCATTAATCAACGAAGTCACGTAGTATAAATTATCAGAGATTAGTTCCATATACCTTCACTGTGGATTGGATGATAAATTGTACTCCCCGTATACCTGAATCATTCCTACACATTTTGAAAACTAAAGTGAAAAAAAGTAGTTCTTCCATGCTGAGGAGGATACTAGTGACAGAATAGTCCAACTCACCTCTGCATGAGCACAGTAATGTATCCAAGCTGTTCAACTGATCGAAGCTGGTGAAATGCTGGTTGCTTTGCAATAAGTGCAAAAAGCTGAAGTTTAACATTCATCTTGAAGTCATCACGACCAACCTGCAAGTTAATCATGAGAGTTGCATAATCAACTTAAGGTATACCAGCTCAAAACAATTTATCCAATCAAATAAACAGACCAAAAGGTTGGGGAAAACCAAGTCCAAAATAAAAAAGTTAAAAATAAAAGAAAGCACATCTTTTTGTGTTAAAAGAAATTAACAACGTAACACAATAAGTAGTCTATATTTTTGGGAAGGTGTGCAGATTGAAGAAATCCATGTATGAGTTGAAACAAGCACCTACAACATGGTTTGGTCACTTCAGTAATGCAGTCATGGAATTTAATGCATGGAAATTGTGAAGTCCTTGGCAACTAAAAAAATGTCTCATCGGAGTGAGAATTTTAATGATATTGAAGTAATTAGCTAGCCTCCAGAATAAATTGATGATATAACATAAGCCCAAACCTAAAAGCCCATATACTCATAACACTCACCCTCGATCAAAAGCAAAATTGTAGTCCAATGTGAATCTACAATCAGACATTCATAGAGAAAATGACACAAATAAGTGTGATTAATATGAGATCCACTTCCCTTTACAGTCATTCTCTCCTTTTTCTTTCCCGAAATGCATTATATGCAGTCATTTTTTGTGACTGTAGAGATCCAAAGTATCATGGCATAGCCCCATTAATGGCTATGGTGAACACGTGAATTGTTCTCCTATACAGATATGATGTGGTAAGGTGATGCTTTTCACAAACAATATGACAATCAGCTTCAACATGCTTTTCCTTCTCTCATGAAACAGGTCTGGATTAGATATGCAGAGTGACTTGATTGTCACGCAATAACTCCATTGGAAGACACCAAAAAATTGACATGCCAAATGTTTTACCCACATAAAGTTCATGTTATTTAAGTTATAACACTATCCAGCCTCCTGACTTAGATTGAGCTACAACATCTTGCTTCTTACTTTTCCACAACAATTTATTCACTCTATACTGATAGACTTCCTTAAAGCAACAAATCCCAGTGGTTGCTTCACAAAAACTTATACTACTAAGTCATAATGGATATTTTCGTTCTTCACATCTAAATGATGGAGAGGTTAATTAGAGGCAGCATGGACCATGGAAGGTGAAAAGAGACTGAGCTTAAATTTGCTACCAATGAGAAATTTTAATTGGCTTTTGTTTGTAACAATTGAAATTTGAATGATATTCAACTTGAAAGGGAGTGTTAGAAAAGTAGGGCCGTAGCGACTATAGTTGCTTTTTACAAACAAGCAACTTTACCTGTATATAGTGCACAAGAGCAGAATTCTCATCATTCGTATTGAGACATTCTGAAGGGTAGAAAAAGTTCATGCCACTTTCAAGCTTAACAACCCGTTTTGTCAAATGCTGAGATGGGAATAAAGGTTTGCATGGAGAGTTTTCACATTTAAAGAGAGTATCTTCTATGTGCCTAACCATTGACACTGCTTCGTTGTCTTCAAGATTTCCTGTAAAGATATGTTTGATTAGATGATCTCTATCCAATTTGGTTTAAAAAAAAAAAAAGGTAACAAGTCATTGACATTTGAGCCATGACTACCTGCTATATAAAACTCTAAAAAGGTCCTTGAGAGTATCACTGGTACAAATTTGACAAGATCCTCTGCTTGAAGAAGCGGAAGTACTTCAAGCCCTTCTATCCAAGGCCAAGTATTATCTTGTAGTATCAATGAGCAATAGTACACAGCCTGCTGATAGGGTTGTCGATACTTGAAATTCTGGTACTCCTTGGTAACCATTTCCTGATAAAATCGTTAAAGAAAGTAACTACATAATCTGTCTAAAAATAAATGCAAAAATCAACACATAGTTAAAATTCCAAATTAAATACTAACAACAAGAGTTCTAACTGAAACATTCTTCCATAATTAGATAAAATTCTTAATCAGGCATTTTTTTTTAAAGAAAATGTAGAAGCAAACTCCTCTATGATTAACAAAATAGAAATTCTGTTCAAGTCCATTAGGGGAAAACATTACTGAAGTAAAGCTCATTTGGGAAATGCATCTCAGGTTTACCTTAATAACTAGGAACCTGTCCTCCTTCAATGTGAATGTGGCAATCTTTTGAATTATGGTTTCAAGTAGAATTCTTAGTTTGTGATTATAACCAAGGAGGGTCACCTGAAAAAACATGATATATAAACGATATGCAAGGAAACATGAGACATGATGGAAAAAGAAATATAGGCATGGATGCACCAGTAATGCTCGTCAAATGGCTCAGATCACATCAGGTAACCTCGGTTCATATGTTTATAATTAAAAGTTGGTGAGCACAAAAATGAGATGAGGAATTTTTCCCCAAAAGCTTACTACTGATGTGAGAAAGTCAACCCAACTAAGTACCTCACTATACATCTTTTTCTACCTTGAATGGTAGAGATCCTAATAGCTACACTTCACAATACTTTACTTGAAGACACTTCACTCAACTTTCTTGTTAGTTAACCTCCACAGGTTCTACCAATAAAATAAATAAATAAATAAATAAATAAATACTCTGCAGGTAGAAATCTTGACCATCAGAATAGAATGAGCGAAAACTCTTCCAAATTACGTTTCAACAATGTACTTTCTTAATCAGATTGTTGATTACTTAATCATGTTATTGAGCAATTAAACCCTCACTTCTATTTCTCCCACCACCTTTAAACTTCAAAATAATGCCTGTTATTTTTCATAGATCATAATGTGTAAAATCTAAATTTGCAATTAAATGCACATGTTCAAGAAGAAAATTGCAAAAGCATACGGATAGGGACCCAGGTAGCACGTCAACTTTAATCACAATCCAAGCAATATGGCTTCTCAATGGTGAGTACTTAAGTGGGGTGATTCTCCTATTCAAATGGTTAGTTCTTGGGGTATGGTTTACCCATATGCCTGGTGCCTATCATTTGGCATCAAAGCTGGTGGCTAGCATCCTTAAAAGGCTACGTGCAAAGTGTTTTGACCCAAAGAAGGTCGACCGAAGTGCCACACCATCAAAACATTGACTTTCCATGGTTGAACTATTGATATGGATGTGGGATCCCTAAGTCTCACATCAAGTGATATAGAATACAGCATTTAATAATTATGATGGTTTTCCTATCTCAATAGCTAGCTTCTAAGACAAGATTTCCTAACACATTTCAATGCCCATTTTACCTTAATTATAAATACTTCCCTTCTAATTTTGAAACTTACATGAACCTACCCTAATATAAATTGTTACAAAGCACAAACATCCCCTCTATTTTTAAGATTTCATTTCCCTCCATCTAACCGTTAGTTAGCTGTTAAATCACACATGTTGGACCTAAATACCCCTTATTTAAATGTAAACATTGTCTAAAAATCATTCAAATTATGCAAAAAATTAATGAATATATTTTTTAATTTTTTATTTATATTTTAATTTTTCAGTTATATAAGCAAATTTATTTAGTAACATTTTCTAAAATTTAAATACGTAAATTGGCTAAAATAATATTTCAACAAAGAATTACTCAATATAAATCAATGAAATAATGATTTAATATAATAAATTACTCAATATAATTTATATTTATTTTTTAAAAATTTTATGAGTTTTAATACAATCTTAAAATGTTTATTTAAATATCAGCAAACTTAATTATTTAAAGTTTTTTAAATTAGGAGAGTAGAAAATTAGGTTATGAGGGCAAAATAATAATTTTAAAATTTTAAACAATCAAGTACTTAGAATCTTTTACAGAATATCCCTAACGGTATTAAAAATTGGATTGAAATGTAAGTTTTGAAAATAAAGAGGAGGTCTTTGTAATTTTAGCAAAACGAAAGGAAAGCTACTGTACTCTGCAAATAAATTTCTCTATAGCAAACAAAATTAACATTAACATTGGACAATAATACCTGAAAACCACTATCTGTGTGGCTTATGTCGTAATACAAACCAGCTACCTGAGCATAGTAAGCTGAAAAATGAGCTCCAGTGAGAACTCCTTCCATTTATAGAATTATATAACAACTAGGAATAACAGTTCAAGCAGAAAAAAAGCTCTATACAAGGTCCAGTTGTTAGGAAACCAACAAACCATATTCATTCAAGCAGTCCATCAATAATTGCGTGAAAATATGAGTCAAAACTTCAGCTTCAGGGGAATTTCCAGCATATGGACAATTGAAATCTATCTTTACATAAGCCTTGGGAGTGGAAAACATTGTATCTGGCTTGTACCACAAGGCTGAATATGACGACCTGCTTAATAGAATTGGAAACTTAACCTGTTCCAAAAGATATTTTTCAACAAAATTTAAGACACCAATAATCATAATTATGTTACGTTAAATCAGATCATACACGTTGTACCTTCTCTTGCACAATCTTAAGTGACAAGTCAGTAGGAAGGAATATGTTAGGTGCTGGAAGATACAGGTCTTTCTTAGGAGCAGAAAGCACCCACCCCTGCAAGTGCAAAATCATATTGGACAAACAACTTCAAATTTTCCACACAGTAATACATAAAAAGGCCTAACGAACTCCATTGAATAATAAACAAAAAAATAAAATTAGTTTACTCCAAAAATTTCGCACAGTTGCTCAGAGAAACACAGACCTCGATTGTGGAACTAGTAATTCTTTCAATGGAATATGCAGTTCCATACCAAGGCTCCACCTTATCAGTATGCCCTTCAAAGTTTTTTGATTCCCAAAAGATTCTGCACAGAAGAGAACAAATCAGTTCAACAACCAAACAAAATAACGGCCTCATCCTTAAAAGCACAATGATCATAAATACAAACAACAATGAAGAAGAAAGATATTTTCCAACAACAACTGAAACATTAATGAATGAGATTGTCATTTTAACTCCAAGCAGAAGCAAACACAGGTTAACTGGTTTATAAAATTCAAGAATTAAAATATTTTCCTAGCATAGTGAGTTCAATCAGAAGTTTAATGGATTACTAAATAAGCATCATCGAACTATTTAGCTAGTATCAAAATCATACAGTCACAATATAGGCCGTGTTCGATTGAATTTCATCAAGTTATAGAATTTATTTTAGAATCTAATGCCCTAATTATATCCATTGTGTTGGGCTTTTGTTTAGTCTTCTATCACAAAATAATCAATCATTCTCCCCATAATAGTTTCCAGTTTTCACATATGGATCAACCTTCTTTGCTTTTTCCATAAATTTTCTTCCATTAATAAAAAATGCAAAGAGCTAGCATGCAGAAGCTCAATTAACAGTTAACAATTGATATTGAAATGCAAAACACATTTTTCACAACATAAACAGTCCATAAATTATCACTTAGCATTCCTAAACCAGGAATTTGACACCATACAAATAAATGGAACAATTCCAAGTTCATAAGACCCAGTAATCTTTCCCCTTGACTTGAGTGTATTTAATTAATCTGATATGACATTAGTTTGAATAATATACAATGCTAACACAGTTCTAGTGTACTTACCGAACACTGTTTGGAGAAAGCTGGTTCAGCACCATTTGGATAACAGTTGGGCTAAATTTTGAAGGCAGAGATGACCCTACCAACCAATCTTTGGGGGGATATAACTACATGGTAACAAAATGCATCAATAAGAATATTTCCATGAAAAGTATTTCATGAAAAATATTTACATATTTGATGGGATACCTGCATATTTGATGCTATATTAACTACATAACTAATTGGAGGAGTCTTGTCCTGATAATGGAACTTGGTCTCACAAATAGCTGAAAGCTTCAAAAACACGTTCAATTACATCAGAATATTTCAAAATGGGTTTAAACCATCAGGAAGATGGTTAGATGCAAAAGATCATCACCATATGATGTAGATAATGATACATCTGACATAACACCCACAATACTTAAAATTGAACTTCGTTCTACAATTTAATAGTAGGAAACCATTTGACTATCTATGTTGTTAAGGGAGCAACCAAAGAGGTTGGTACTACAAAAAGCTTTCCTTAAAGTAGCACCTTATATGTGGCAAAGCTAGCTGTTGTGGAAATGGGGCTTGCCATCTCAACACATATTTCTGATGCTTAATGAATATCATAACGTAGACAGTGACTTCTGGAGAATACATAGTATCCCCTCTAAATTGACCTATCCCTAGATTGTTCATTCCTTCTTTTTCACTTTTATTGTTACCTTCCAATTCTTTTTCACTTTTACTGTACATATTCATCCATTATCAAAATCAAATACCTCATCAAATATCCATTTGCAAACACCAGAGTGCTGTAGAAGCTCAACATATTTGAATAACAGCCCTACAATGTCCTGTATGTGATCTAAAAATCAAACATAGAGATGTCAATAAATTTACAAAATCCATAAACCAACATACATCGCACCTAGGATTTGTTCAGTAATCTGAAAAAAAAAAATGACAGCTTCACATTCTGAATACTTACAAGTGAACATGACAATACCAAAAGAGATAAGATGTGTACAGCAAGAGAGGTAAAGATAAGAGTGAGAAAATCTAACCATGACCAGCATCAGTAAGATCAATTACAACTTTAAAGAAAGAAAAGTCCAAATTCCAATCTGACTCGCCTGCAGACAAGCCTGTTGCCCATCCTGCAAACAGAATCCTTCTCATAAAATCACACAGCTCACAAGATATAGAAGCTAAAATGAATTAAGAAACTGCTATCCACAGGATGAAATCTTTACATATGAATTGAACAATGTTTAACCACATATTTTCTAAAATAAGCTGCTGATTTTCCAAAGATACCTAATTTCAATTTTTCACTGCTCAGCAACTTCCATAACCTGCTTTTAGGTAATAGCAAAAGCAACTTTTCTACTGTGGAAACAAAGCAGAATTTTGTTGATTCTCCACAAAAAAAACCATACTTTTCAGATACAAAAACGCCCTAACTCAAATTTCTAGTTATTATATCATCCCTTATTCTATTTTACCCAGTCTCCACTAGGTGCCAAATTCACTCCTTTCTTTTCTCAATTCTTCTCTTACCCTTCCACAGCTAGTTTCATATATTTATTTTATATATGTGTTTATTTTTATTAAAACATTCTATAAACTTATTTTGACCCTTTCCTCATTTCAATAAGATTGAAAAATAAAAAATTGACTCAATCACAGTTAACCCTTACGAAAATTTAAAATTATTTATCCATCAAAAAATTAACTACAGAGTCAAATCTATATACATATTATTTTAAGTAATTTGTCAGTAAAAGGAGATTTATTAGTTAAAATTAGCCATGCAATAATATGGATAAAAGAGCTAACAAATGATTTTGCTGCACACAAATCGCTTCTTTTTTATAGTACTTTTCACTGAACTCAATTTGACAAAAGTGGTTCCCAAGAAAAAAGAAGGTGAAAAACAAAACCAGTCCTAAAAAAGAACCAATAGAATGTAAATACCACCACAAAGAATTACCATCAATATAAATATGATAACTAGAGCCTGATTTTGTTGATATTACATGTTCCTTCATGTATGGTTCTCAAACAAATTAAAAATTCAAATGTATAGGCTGGAGCCTGATAGTTCATCTGATAAATCCACTGCTCCTTACCTAAGCATTGATGATTGTTATTTTTTGAAAAGGGAGGGATAGAATAGAAATGAAGGTTGAAATCTTGATCTAGAGGAGGAAACAAAGAAAGATGAAACATAAATATAAATATTCCATTAAACACCAGAACTTATGACAATTAATATCAAGTTAATGACATCAAAACCACATACAATAAACCAGCATCACCTCTTTCTTTAAGTTCCACTTTCATCCTATAGTGAAAGGATTACCAGAAAATGATTTACACCAATCCTTAACTCAATATTCTTTATCTTTATTTTAAATGAGGCCAGGTGACGTTATAGGAAAATTAATTGTAAGATATGTAAGGGATGTATAAAACCCACCCAAAGTTTTCAAGATGTAATATAATGATCCTTCTCCCTCATGGCCGATAAGATGACCAAGATACCTGCATGGCCCTTCCGCGTAGTAAAGAATCTCAGGGGTTACTGGCCATACAATTCTCAATTTATGACCTTGTTTGATTGGGACAGTTTTGACAAGAATCTAACACACACGAGCCAAACAAGAATTAGCATAAACCCTGAATCAGTCAAACACTACGTAATCTGCAATAGTATAATTATACCTGCAGATGGTCTGATTTGCATGGCTGACCAGGAGGACGGAAATAACTTCGGTCAATATTTCGAATATCTGAGAATTTCTCTTCCACCAGATTTTGAATTTTATCAAGGCTTTCTGAAAATACTCAGGCACAAATAGTGGTATTCAGAGCCATATGAAGAAAAGCAGAACCAGTATCTGATATAAGAAAAGATCTAGTACCATTTGTATATACAACTAGACGCATCAAATTGGCTGAATAGTTTTCTTCATAGAACTTGATAAGCTCACTTCTTGTGTCCAATCCTCTGTTTTTTGGTTGAACTTCCAAAGTGTCCCAGTTCCCTATGTAACTCACAATTATTTTGAAACCATTAGAATCTCATGTATCTATTTAAAACGTGACAAAGCAGAAAGAGAGCAAGAAAGGAGAAAAATTAATCCTATTTGAAGAAGCATTACTTCATAGGAATTCTCGGTTAGGAAACAGGCAAGACCAAAACACAATTGGGTGCTTTAGTTTACCAATGAGAAGAAAGTTTTCAACATGCCAATCAACCCAAAAAAAAAAAAAAACTATCTATAAACAAAGCACCCAATAAAAAGCAACTACTCAAATTTTAGCACTATTAAAAATAAAAGAAATAAAATACTAACCTGTACTGAATTTATGAAATGGATGGTCCTCAGAACTGAGATGCTTCTGAAGCTGAAAAGATTGCAATTTCATGCAGGGGGGAGAGGGTAATAGATGCTATTAAAGTACTCAAATACATATGAACAAACAATTATAGATCAGAATAATTTCTTTTAGCTTTAACAAGTGCCAAACGATATTAATCTAGAGCATAGGTTGAGAGTTACAAATGGTGATCCCCAATGGTCAATTATAGAGAATAGTTTCCTCCCAAGTCCCAACCATGTCCAGCTGGAGGCACCCAGCCCAGAATACAAGCCAAAAAATTCTCCCACAATTCTTTGACAAATGCATAGTCCAAGTGATTTTTGTTGGGCCCCAAGGCATAGTAAGTGCAAACTCAGTCTCAAACAGTCCAATAGTAATCCAAGACACAACAAACTAAAGTCACTTCAGCAATTACTATTAGCCAGATAACAAAGACAAGTGAAATCAACGGCCAGAAAAATTCAAGAAAACGGATCCTAAAGGCAAAGAATCAGAAAAAATAGATTCACCACTAAAAAGGGACTGACCTCACGTCTTAGCTTTTTAATTGATGCAGCACAACTAAAGTAACTGGAGAAGCAAGCACATCCATGGGAGCTCATTTAGGTATTGGCAAAAATTATTTCTGCTGCCCACTTGCCCCAAACACATTTGAAGCATTGCAGGTAAATCTAATGCTATTTTAGATCAATTTAGAATGTTTAGTCCTGAAGAGCTCCCTTGATAAATGAAATGATCATTAACACTATAATGCTTCTTTTCCTAAACAAACGAGATATTTCACTCCAATTGAATAAAATTTAAGGATAAATGTCGTAATAAAATAAAATTTTGACTTTGCTTTTCTACCATTTTCTACTATGCAACCCTACAGTCAGTAAAGCCAAGAATAGTCACCTGGTTCATTCTCCAAGCATCAGATAACAAGTTCTTCTGGTTTTCTGTCAAAAGGAGAAAGGAAGAGTACAAAGATAAGAAGGTAGGGGGGAAAGCTCAAGACATTGGACAATATTAAAAAAAATATAGGCTAACCAGAGTCAACAGCTTTAATTTCCCTTGTCGTAGCATCAGCAGACATCAATGGTTTAATGAAGAACTGAGCAAATCTGGCAGGCAAACCACGGCCAAACATCAGATCTTCTATATGAAAGTTATCATAAGAAATAATAAATGAAAGAACCCAAAACTGTGGGATCTACCTGTCTAAAGCCTCTTCAAAAGCATCAGTGTTAACATCGAAGTGATAGTTGGTGCGCTCAGAGGATGTAAAAGCATTGGTGCTTCCTCCATGCTGTGTCATGAAGACAAACCACAGTGATGGCAAAACAACAGTCATTAGAAAACAATTGAAGAAACAACTATCAAGGGTGAAGTCACATAACTGCCAAATGATATAATGAAGAACTGTACACTAGAAATTTCCACCACTCATAAAAATGTCATTAGATAGAAGAGTTAAATGATGAAAAGGCCTAACACTCCAACACATGCACACACAAAAATAGAGGCACCAATTAGACATATTACTAAAAATAATTATGAACTATCACGTAAGTTTTGAGTTGAAGCAGTCATTGACAAGAGATTAGAGCCTCTCTGACCAAATTACCAAATGTTAATTGTTAATACTCGCCAATTAAAAGCATAAACTTGCCTTTCAGTTCATCATTTTATAACTTTAAATCATTATTAGAGCTTAATGCGCTGATCAAGGAAATGCAATAAGCTCATCATTCTATATCAAGGCTAGCTCTAACTTGCCTCAGGTCTGAAAAACTTTCCAGTAATTTTCAAAAGCCTTATGAGAGATCAAAGATTTCCTTTAGTCTCTCCAATTTCATACAATTGTAAATAAAATAAAAAATGCGGAACTAAAGTACTAAACTGAACAGGAAATTCTACAGCAGCTCAAGGAATTAAACAGTCTCAGCTATCTGAAAATTATGGCAGCGTTAACCCAATACTTGAGTGGGCACCAGTGGTCCTGCTCACCTGGCGTTAGTCAAAAAAATAATAGCAGCATTTACCTCGGTAATATACTTGGAGTAGCTATCTTCTACCGGGTATTTTTCACTGGCATAAAAAAGCATGTGCTCTGCAAGCAACAAAAATCAACTGATCATCACGTAATAATTTTTCAAATAAGTAACATTCCAATCACATCCTCAGATAAAGCGCCCTTAAGGTGAGTAATCTAATGTTAAAATATAAATTGAATTCTTGGTAACCAGATCAGGTCTATCGTTTTCCTTGTTTCTTGTCTCCCCTTCGGTGGTAAGCCATCTATTGTTAAAGTCAACTTGACAATAGCTGGAAGCCAATCATTGATTATTCATGTAAAAAGTAATTTTAATTTTAAAGTATATTGGAACACGCAACTCTCCAACAATATCGAGTTTTTACCAATGCAGCTAGCAAAATAAAAATATTCAAAACTGAAAAGCTATCAAAGTAGTAGTCAAGCCGCGCCGCCCCCCGGGAGGCGGGGGTAAAGTAATCGAAGGGGAGAGTTGCCTCTCTTTTTCCTTGTCGAAAAAGGAGGTAAGGAAAGGGAGAGGCCCCCTCCCCTAATCGAAGTCGTTCAAAGTATAAAAAACGTAACAAAACACGATGACCGCCTCAAAATGTCAAACTATACCCAGGAAATGGGCAAGGCCTTCAAGACCGTCTGGATCATTGAAGGAGCCGACACCAACGTCCATGGAAGCAGCACACTGGAAAAATAACAGAAACAGATATTTTAAAAAAGACTTGAATTCAAAACAGAAAACAGCGTCGGGAGATGATTCAACCTTATCGGCATCGGAATCGCTGATGAGAAGCACTTCAAGCGAATTCCGTAGAACAATCCTTCTGTAATCCCTCTTGTCCGAGCGAGCTTTAAAAATCTCTACCTCTTCCTTCCCCACCGCCATCGTCAATTTGTAGTCGTTTCTTCCCTCTCTTCCCTCTTCCGTCGCTTCCTCTCAATCCCAAGTGAGAAAGGTGCTGGCAGCCGAGGGGACAGCAACGTTTCGCTTCTCTTCCAAACTCAGCAACTCTGGATTCACATATTATTGATGCTTGAAAAAAAATAATTTATTTTTGATGCTTAAAAAGATTTTATTTTAGTGTATTTTGATTTTTGATGCTTAAAAAGATTTTATTTTTAATCTTATAAAATATATTTTCAATCCTTTAATTCAAATATTATTGATTTTAAATAATTATTTTTGTCAATCATTATTATTTTAAAAAATAAACTTAATATATTAATATTTCATAATATTTAGTTAATATTTAAAAATTTAATGCAAAAGTTTTTTTGATAAAATTAAATGATGTTTTAATAAACAAATTAAAAAAATAATTCATAAAATTTTAGATAAATTTTAAAGAATTAGAGCTAAAATTTAGCTGAAAATATATTTTAATCAATATTAAAATCTTATAATTTAGAAGAATACAAGTCTACGATTGAATATATTAAAATAACTATTTTCCATGTTCGCTGATATATTTCTGATTTCTGAACGGTCATCTGTAAATTAAGCCCCAACGTCGACACAAATATTATCTATTGGTCCCAGAAGACTGAAAAGAGGGACAATAAAAAGGGGATTCAATCAAATTCTTAAGAATTATAATCAATTTAGCGTGATAAATAACACAGAATCTCCGTGTCATGTTGTCCTCATGGTTTCGGACTATCCCACGGCAGCCGCCGAGACTATATCCCACTTGTGTCTCCAGTCTAAGCTTCCATTGATAGCTTCGGCCTTAATCCGACAGAGCCTCCGATTTGCTAGTATGGGCACGATAGAAGACTCCATTGTTATTTATTCAAAGGCCAGATACACTGACAAATAATTGCAAGAGTGACCCCCTGCTCAATTCTTTTCATTTTACCTTTGCTTGGATTCCATTAGTTGGCCCATTGCATCACATCCGCGACAAGAGTCCCTGCATTGCAGTCACGTAGCGCGCCTCGTGCTTTCGACTTTCGTCACGCATAAGCAGTGCCGATCAATATAATTGGATGATAAAAAAATGTAAATATAATTGATAAATTACTAATACAAATATTCTCGGCCATTAAATTTGCATTGTTACTGGTTTCTAAAATTGAGATGAATTCAATATTTATAATTTTTGTTATGCATATGATTTAATATGATAAGATATCACGAAAAATACAGCAATCAAACAAGCAAGGCCACAAAGGCTAGAAATCACATTTAATGGAGCGAAAATGAGAATAGGATAGAATTTTACAATTTAAAATATATTTGGTAAATAAGAAAAAAAATAAAAATATTTTTTATTATATATTTGATTGATAGGATAAAAATAGAGAGGTAATGGGAATTAAAAAGAACAACTGACCATAATAACCTCAATAAAAAATAATGAAAAATATCTTAAACTTGATATTAAAAAATTAGGATGGATTAGTCATTTTACTAGTATTTCCAACCTGAGAAGCGAAGATTCATCCATTTTTTATGGAAAGACACGAGCCATATCCCAGATCTTTCTAACATGAAAGCCATGTTTGGCATATAGGATGAAGGTTTCCAAAGCCAAAATACACCGACAAAAATACCTCCAATTCTACCTTTCATTGCCGCCTCGCAGCGCCCTTCGCAGCAAACCCTACAGAGGCAACTGATATTATTTGTAGATGATATCATTAATAAGACTGCAGAATCAATCAATCAGGTGGGAAGGTGAATGGTGATTGGAAATAAGTTAATTACAGCTACAGGCATTAAAATTGAAACAAAACTCACTAAAACAAAATTAAAATTGAAACACAACGGAAGCATGACATGGTGTGATAAATAAAACTGCAATCAACCTGTCAAAAGCGGAAAATCAATTATAGATGATTGAACAACACGTCCGTGGTTGGTTGAATGCAAAGATTTTTAATAGAATGAAAATGGGAATATAAAAGAGAGTAGAATAGGATTTGTAATTTGAAATATACATAGAAGATAGGAAAAGAAATAAGAACAGTTTTTTATTAGATGCACTGGTAGAATAAAAATAGAGAAAGTATTGGGAAACAAAAATGAGCAACTGACCATGATAACGTTAATAAAATATCTTAAACTTCACATAAAAAATTATTTATGGTGAATTTTAGTCATCTAACGTGTATTTCCAATATGAACAGTAACTTCCCCTTCACTTTTTGATAGAAAATCTGCATCCTTTCATTCCAACATAAATTCCATACGTCCCAAGGACTTTAATTTGACATAGCTTCCTATCTTGATCTGCTAATGCCAAGTATTGGCACCATTGAAGATCCCATTATTTCTTCAAAGCCAAATACACCGATGAGCAATACATTCATCCAAACTTTGCTTGGATTCCATTTGATTGGCCCATTGCATCATGTCTGCACGAGAGAAAAAGCTACGCCAGAAAGGATTCAAGATTAATGTCATCCAAAGATTCAAAGGAAGGGGACCTAAAGGGGTAATGGGATGAAAACCACGTGTAAAGGAAAAGATTGTCAAATAACTCCTCTGATTTTCCAATAAAAAATATAGCCCCCCTTTTTTTCTATTTTATGAAACACATTAGGCCTCATTTTATACAGGGGGCTCCTATTTACAAGACCCATCCCACAACAAAAGATCCGCCCCGTAAGCCAATCACACTTTTTTCCCTTTAAAATATCAAAATGCAACATATCATATAAATTAAATTTCAATATGCCATATAGAATCATTTCCCTTATGGTAACATCAGCAGATCTAATTGATTCGATGAAGAATTGAGCAAATTTGGAAGACAAACCATGACCTAACATCAGATCTTGTGAAAGAAAATTATTACAGGAAATAGGAAATGAAGGAGACCACAACAGTGGGCTCACCATGTCTAAAGCCTCCTCAAAAGCACCAGTGTTAACACCAAAGTAATGGTTGGTGTAAATATAAATTCTTTAACTTGAGTTATGGCGTAAATATAATTGATAAATTACTAAAATAATTAGACCGAGACATTAAATTTGTGGCTCAAATGTTACCAGTTTTAAAATTGAGATAAATTTAATGTCTTCAACTTTTATTAATAAACTTGGGATTTGGGGAAAAGGAGCACAAGAAGAAGCTAGATTTAGGTTAATAATAAAATATAACGAAAAGCCGTTACAAAACTATCTCAAAGAAAATAGAAATTGCCAAGATGAGTGAGGCCCTATTGTAAGACCATATTTGGTGGAACGAAAAGATATCTAATAGAATGAAAATAGGAATAAAGATGAGAATAGAATAGAATCTTGCAATGTAAAATATATGCTTGATATTATAAAAATAGACATGAGATTATTTTTTTGCCTAAAACATGAGAATTAAAAATGAGCAACAGAAACATGGTAATCTTGATAAAAATATCCTAAGAAAAATATAAACAATTATTTAGGGTGAATTAGTTATTTTCATGCTAAAAAAAAAAACATGACTTTCCTTTTCGTGAAATATAGGCCTTTCAAAGAACTCTTCTTACAAAAGCTATCGAAGTTATGCGAGGCATATGAAATTATAAATGTAAGCAGACACAACGACCTGCTCAAAAAGTCAAACTTTACCAGGGAAATGTTCAAAGCCTTCGAGACCGTTTGGAGCCGACACAAACGTCCATGTAAGCAGAACACTGGTTAAATCACAGCAACAAAGATAAAGAACTTGAATTCAAAACACAGAGCAACGTCAGGAGATAATTCAAACTTATCAGTATCAGGATCGCTGATGAGAAGAACTTCAACTAGCTCCAGAGAAAGATCCTTCAGTAAAGTACTCAAATACATAGCAACAACAAGCATTAAATTTCAGAATTATTTCTTTTAGCATTAATAAGCTCAAAATGACATTAATTAAGATTGTTCTAGAGAAAAGGTTGAAAATTACAAACAATGATCCCACCAAGCTTGGTCGACTACTAACTTTACAGAGAACGGTTTCCTCCTCACTAGGTCCTTCTGGCATCCAGCACAGTATAGAGGCCAAAAAATTCTCCCCTATTACATTGACAAAGAAAATGGTCCAAATGATTTTATTAGGCCCCAAGACATCAGTAACAGTAAACTTAGTCTCAATCGGTCCCATTGCAATCCGACACACAGCAACTAAAGTCACTTCAGAACCTACTATAAGTCACAGAACACACACAAATGAAACCAGTGGCCAGATTAATTAAAGAAAGTGGAACCTTGAGGCAAAGACCCATAAAAAGTAAAGCCGCTAAAAAGGGACTGGCCTCACATCTTAGTTGTTTTATTGATGCAGCAAAACTAAAGTAACTGAACAAGTAAACTCATGCATGCACGTCATGGGATCTCCTTTAGCTATCAGGAAATCGTGTTTTCTACCTGTCCCAAACAAAATATTTTAAGTGTTGAAATTAAGAGACGTTTCACTCACTTTAGAATGTTAAGTCATGAAGAGATCCCTTGATACATGAAATGATCATTAATACTATAATGTTTTTCATCCAAAATGAATAAGAGATATTTCACGCAAAAGTCCATAAAATTTGACGCGTCATAACAAGATAAATTTTATATTTTGCTTTTCTACCATTTTCTACTATGCACCCCTACAGACTCCAGAAAGGCAATACACCTAGTCCTTTCTCAAAGCATCAGATAATAGGTTCTTTTGACTTTCTCTGAAAAGGAGCAAGGTAGAGTATAGAGATGAGAAGGTAGGGGGTAAAGCTTGAGACATGGGACAATTTTATGAAATATTGGCTAGCCAGAGTCAACAGCTTTAATTTCCCTTCTGATAGCATCAGAAGACATCAATGGCTTAATGGCGAACTGAGCAAATCTGGAAGGCAAACCATGGCCTAACCTCAAATCTTCTATAAGAAAATTATCATAAGAAATCAAGGAAATCATAACAGTGGTATCTACCCGTCTAAAGCCTCATCAAAAGCATCAGTGTTAACTTCAAATAAATAACTGGTGTGCTCAGAGGATGTAAAAGCAATAAATTTGTAGTTCAAATGTTACTAGTTTAAAAATTGAGATAAATTTATTGTCCATGGTGTGGAG